ATTTCTCCCAGCCAGAGATCAGTGTTTTGTTTCCTTCCTTCTGTGTTAGCTTTCTGTACCCATTTCTTATGTTAGACGGGTCGGTGCCGACCTGTATCTTAAATCAGCCATAAAATACCCTCAAAACAATTATTTATCATCTAATTTGTTTCTTACCTCTTGGTTACCTTGTTAAGCTTCCTTATCCATGAAAAGATTGGTTTTAATATTTTTAGTGTGGCTTTCTGGACCTTTCTTTTGACAGCATACCTTTCGTTTTCAATAAAAAATAATGGTAAAGTAAGCCTCAAGTGAATTAAATAAATAAACTGAGTTGATCTTATCTTGCCTTACATGTCTGGGCATGCCTTGCCTAGTGAAATTCTGTTTTTATGTAGTAATTTTTTTTTATACATTTTCCTGATGCAGTACACAAATTTATGTGACGCTTTCATGCATTTTAAACTTAAAAAGGGGTCGGTACCGACCCCAACACCAGAGCTGTTATAATGTTGACCAGAGCATTTATAATTTAGTGAAATTTTTTTTTGTTTAAATAGAGGTTCCTGACAAAGTCAATAAACCTTGATGCAGTACACAAGTTTATGTGGTGCTTTTATGCATTTAAAACTTACAAACGGGTCGGTGTCGACCCTAACATCATAGGAAGGTTAACCATGTCCATTATATCTGCTTTAGATGCCCAGGTTTGTTTGTAGGCTGAGAGAGCCCAGGGCAATTATGTCAACATTACCGGTGTATTAAATGGTATTTCCACCTAACATGCTCTTGTTGATAATGCTCAAGTGTTTATCGCCTGTAATCCCCGTGAATGAATCTAAAGTGCACCAGTTATTACTCCTTGCCAAGGCCACCTGTCTCGGGATGCGCACGCGGCCACCCCTGGTATGACGTCACCGGATTGGGGGGGGGCTGTGATGTTATCGGGTGGGAGACATGAGGGGCCTTGGGGAGACGGTGAGATTCGCTCCTCTGCGCAAGCATTTCCCACAATTCTCTGGGCTGAATAAACACAAGGCTAAGGGATATTATTTAACATACATTTTAGTCGTCATAACCTTTCTTAATCCCGACTTTTTGATATATTTGTTCCTTCTTGGGTTTACGCTGGTGTTTCTTATACAAACAGAAGGCAAAAGTACTGAATGATTGCATGTCGTGTAAGCATGTTTGGCTTGTAATATGTTTTATAACTGTGATGACCATCCGTTAAGCATGAAACCAAAGAATGCATGCTCAGTTTTTCTATCCCATCATTCTTCCTAATCTCTCCCTGCATTTTAGTACACTATATCCTGTGGATTTGTCAAGAATTGTTTATATGCCTTCAGAGTTAGAGTTTCCAGTACTTTCATTGTCCTAATACTGTATGTCTGAATTTCGAATTAATCACTGGTTCATTCACAATCGACACTAAAATTTCACCACATATTTCGCCCTCCTGGGCTAATTTTCGGGCTTTTAGCTTGAGTCTTCACGGCCGTTTCCTGATTGCTCGTCTCTCCTTGCTTGAAAGTGGGGGCTCGTGGCTGAGTTTAAGCCTCTGCCAATAGATTTATAGTCCTGAAAACTTTCCAGTCCAGCTACGCATGATAGCTGTATGATAACAAATTAGTTTCTCTGAGCTAAAGACAAACAAATTTGCCTTTTTTAGTCCATACTTCACTGATTTCAGTCCTTTAACACTTACTGAGTCACATGTTGCTCACTGAAGGCTGAAACGCAGTAGTATGTATCTGTCAAGTACACAGATGTAGTCTTAGCGTAGCATTACGGGGTGCCAAGTGTCAAGTGCTCATTTTCGTGCACAAAATAAATTTTGTACTAAAAAAATCATTATTTAATGACAAAATCAAGTAATGCCTTGCTGCATTTTATCCAGAAAAGCATAAAGACTTCACTTTCTTTTGTGTCAAGAACTGCTGATGCACTGGTCACCAGTTTGTGATTCCACAGAATCAATTTCGTCCACAAATTCACTGCATATAATTCACGAAATGCATTTCGAACAGCTGTCTTCTGTCCACGAAAAGCAAAGTGTTGAAATCGATTCTGTGCACAAAATGAAAAATCCCTTTCGATTTCTGTGCATGAAGAAAGTGAAGTTTTTATGCTTTCGTGGACACAGTCCAGCGCGGCATTACTTGGTTTCGTCATTAAATAATGCTTTTCGTGGCACAGAATGTATTTTGCGCATGAAAATGGGCACTTGACACTTGCCGCCCCACACACATGGCCTTTTAGCAAAACAGTTTCGGGCCACTTTTAGATTTGAATCCTGTACATTTCTGAATGAAACTCTTCACAACTAGCTGTTGCCTAACTGAAAAGAGGAATGAGGAGGAAACACAATAGTGCTGCCTTTAAATATCGAGTGTTTCTTTGTGTTTATGTGTGCACTTAGAACAACAAGGTTACTGCGTGGGCTAATTGTGTATGAGAAATTATGTGGGCACTCAAACGTTTGTCAGCTGCCGGCTATTATTTCAGTACTATCACGTTGGGTTGCTAAGCCCCTCTATTCCGAGCAAAGTCAAGGCCGTCCCGCAACACATCCACAAGTATTGCTAGCGAAAATAAAACTTTGAATAGCTTTTATTTGAAAACAATACAGTTTATTTATGTTGCTAAGCCTGCTTCTGTCAAGCACAAGATGTGTGTGTGTGTTTTTTTATTTCCTGTTGCTTCAAATATTGAACATATAGCTGGTTTGCACATGCCCGGTCGCCGATGACAGCCAGCGTTCTGGTGGGGGACAATGCAGTTAAGGCAGACAAACAGGGCCACAGCCATAAAATGTCCCATACCTTATATTCCTCTCAGCCAACAGACTTTTTGCAAATTTTAGAAGACTGCAATATATTACAGAATGTCAATTATGAGTCATCAGTTATTGAAGTAATGGGGGGTAAAGAGGTACCTCAGTATAAAGAGCATGCATTGTGGAAAACGAGAATCGATTGGAGAATAAAATAGGTTGTAATCCATTGTTGAGTGTGTAGTAATTAATGTGAAGCAAAGGTTCACGTTAATGCAGGAAGATTGTTCCTTAAGGGCCTTTTTATCTGTGGTTCCAGTAACAGAGCATCTATTTTAAGTGTCAAAAGAAGCCTTCCTGCAAACCACCAGCTGACTAGCGGCACTCTGCCATATGCTCGCCCAGTTGCTCTTTTCCAGCACACCTCCTTCCCAGTTTCGCCGGGTGTGCTGGGGCCTCCCTTACCTGCTGTTCCTCCTCCTGCACCCCGCCTGAAAACGTCCCCCCCCGTCTCAGGCCCACGTGTCAGGCACGTGCCCCCCCTCCCGCCCCCCTGTTAACCAACACTCACGCTGTATCTTCTAGGGATCCCTCAGAATGGCAACAAGCGGAGCTTAAAAGCCAGGCTCCTGAAGCTCGTTCCTTGCTCACTGGGCAAGAAGGCATCGTCTCGCACCCAAAGCAAGTGCCCCGTCTGTTTTTTCCTAGAATTCTGGAAGGGTGTCCAGTTTTAGGGATCGCTGGATCCTTAGGTGTCCTTCCTTAGCCACCACAGCTTATATGTCTATCATTTAGCTTCTAAAGAATAGGATAAAACTTCCTGCTTTGACTTGGTTTTACTTCCCTTCTGTTACGACGGGGTAAGGCGAAGGCGGAGAAAAAACTGACAAGAGGGGTTCAGCCTGTTAATCCACCCACGCAACCCATTGAGCTATGCGGCAGTGCAGGGTGCAAGGCAACACACTAGGGACTTAGGACAAACACAGAGGAGGGAACAGGATGGCCAGTGACATCTGCTGGCCAAATGGGGACAAAGCACTTGGGATGGGACCAGACAGGCACTGACCGTAACACATTCTGGTTTTAGTAGTGTGTATGCAGCAGCTGTATGGATGTGCCTATGTCCTTGTGTAATGCGTGTGTGCACAACTGCTTTAACGTCACTGATATTGTCAGAAATATTTGAGTCTTTTGCTGACTCTAGACAATAAAAGGGGACCCAGAAGCCATTTCACCTGGACGCCTGCTGGCCATGGTCTCGCAGGGTGGGAGACTCGCTCCTTAATCCGACTCACTGTGCTTCTCTCATTGAGTAGAGGAGACCCCCAGTCTCCCAACTGTCAGTCATTTCCAGGAGTTAATTGCAGCCCAGCCAGGTGCTGTCACTGGAGCACCTGGCCGATCGCTGGGCTAATTAGTCTGTTCTCCACACCCCAGATCGATTCCAGAGCATATAGTGCCACAGAGGGGCCAGTTCATATTTCTGCATAAAAAAATGACCCATGCCTACAAGGCAGATGTAACATTTTATCTCAAACACCTGTCTATGTTAGACTCCCTTCAAACTTCCCGTTTGACAGACACGGCGATCAGGGGGGGCTTTAGTGTTCGGGTTTATCCAGGCTTTCTAGCGGAATCCCAGAGGCCCAAAAAAGGAAAAGGGCCCCCACCACAGTCTGCAGCCCACCCCAGCCCACACCAGACTCTGATAACTGAAACAGCCCAGGTGCCTCGACCATGTTTATTTGCCAGTGACTGATCAGCACTGAATCGCACGCGGTTCGCAGTTTGCTAGCCTGATGTGTGACAGCGCTGCCCCACGTCAGCGGACATGCTGCCAGTGTGCTGAGGCTCTGCTGACAGCACTGCTCCCGTTAGCCATGTGACAGGGATGGCATTCCATCACTTTTGGCCTATAAAGAACAAGCGGGACATTAATACCAGGTGAGGCGTGATGGATCAGTGGTGTCATGCTGAATTGACTGCTTATGATAATCACTCTGCACTCTGAATCCGTATCGTTATTGAAATTATAGCTAAATGGGTTTCTTATGCTGCTGAAGGAACTGTCTCTCTTGTTTGAATCATTACAGCTTTTAAGACTGTCCCGTGGTAGGACGTCTTACTATTGAGCCATGAGAAGTGACCCCTGTGGGAGCCCCCCCTCGACACAGCCAATGGTGTCCGATATTCCCGGGTTCCCAGTGCTCCTCCTTTGACGGCACATTATTTGTCGTTGCAGACAGCGTGGAAGATGAGCTGGAGATGTCCACGGTGCGCCACCGGCCCGAGGGCCTGGAGCAGCTGGAGGCTCAGACCAAGTTCTCCAGGAAGGAGCTGCAGATCCTGTACCGAGGCTTCAAAAACGTGAGCCGCCCATTCGCTCTGTGACACTCGGCCGTCCACTGGAATCACTGGTCCTATCAAGTCAGTGCAACAGTAATATGATTTTTAACGTAAGGCAGGACAGCGTAGAAAAGCGGCACAGTCACTGCGGTAACTGGCTCTAACTAACTCGTCCTGTCAGGAGACTCTTTAAAGATTATCAGGTAGATAAAAATGACATGTCATTGCATTAATTGCCGATCTCCAAGACATGCGATGATTCATATGACACCCATTTTCACTTGGAAACCGGTGAGTCACTTCGAACATGACTTAATGACATCTTCATGACATTTCAAATGTGAAGGTTTGATGTACAATTAGACCAGATCACCACTCTCCTCTTCTCAGTTTCTATCGCGTATATTAGCACACAACATGGTCCACTGCAGATAACAAGCAATTTTAATTGGCCATTTCCCTACTCTCAACTGGGCCACATCATCCATCCATCCATCCTTCTTCCACCTGCTTATCCTGGTCAGGGTCACAAGGGAACTTGTCCCAGGCAGAACTTACCAGAAGGTAGGGACACGCTGACGATGGGATGCCAGTCAGATCTCTGCCACTCCATTCAAATTTCACTTATTTGCATTTCTTGTGAGTCCTGTCATTGTTTCTCTCTCCCCACCAAGTTTTAATCTTCACTGTAATGATTCTGACCTTGTTACTCCTCTGCTGTTTACCCTCCCTATTAAAAGTGATTCAACTCACTGTCTCTCACTAAGTCAGCTTCTTAGCTACATGCCCATTATTTGCATTCATAAGTAGGAGTCTGAGAAAAATGGTTTTGTCTTCACGTATACTGTGCTTATACTATACTTACAGCTTTGTTCGTAAATGAGTTTTACTGCGCAGATACAAAGGCGTTTAAATAACTATTTCTTCATTGTTATTATACTGGAATCCAGGCTAGCACTTTCAAATCTTCAAGCTAATGAAAGTATTTTCAGTCTGACCTTTCATGTTCTCCCTCACGGTCTTTGGTAATAGGCCCAGCCATTTAACATCTCTTCTTATTTTTCTGATGGCCAAGAGCTCACTCTTAAGCGCCTATCACAGAGAAAAATGTCACCTCTAGTGTGTTGCTCCGAGATAAGATTTGATATGTTATTTTCCAAAGATAAAGAGATGTTCTATAGTCGCCTCAGTGACAGCGGGCTTGTTTTAAACTCCTTTACCGCTTTTCAAACTTACATACCTTCCACCAAAAATAGACCAGAAGATCAATGGCAGTGGCCGTGAGATATTGAACAAAAATAATTGCACTAAAACTCAATCTCAAAAGTCACTAGAAGTCTGAAACTTGAGCATTGCACCAAAGGAATGATTTATGAGAATGTATTTTGTTTTGGACTAGGACCAGTTTAAAATATATCTTGTGTCCTAAGCAAGCAGAGTATTGTGGAGACTTATTTGTAGCCTGTGTCCGCTATTTCAGTTTTGTTCTTATTTTGCTCTGAGCTTTTTCAAAAGCAAATATCGTACTGAAAGAAACATGTAATGTAATGGAAATATCGCGTCAGGAGGGTTACCTCACACTGCCCTTTGCTGAGTGTTGTTTATGAGAATGGAGAGTGAGTTTAACATCGATTTTAACAGATGAGCCTTGGTCTAGCTACGACTCCCATCCATGTCTTCCTGGCCATCTTCAGTGCTGTCATGTTTTTACTCTCCTGTTCTCTGTCTAGGTGAAATTTGTCATATCTTTTTTCTTTTTAGTGGATGGGTGAACATCATGGAAATTGCAAATCTCTACCTCTCATTTCCCAGAAGGTCTGTAGGACTCAGGGTTTGAGAGGTAAATCCAAGGCATTAACATGAAGCCGCTGCTGCCGTAGTCTCTCGATGGGCATCTGAAGCTCAGATGTTTGGCCCAGAAGTGACTGATAATGTTAGATCCAGCAGCCAGTTTGGACGTTTTGGCCCAGATGCTGCTGTAGACATTTGGCTCAGAAGCGACTGTAGACAATTGGCCCATCAGCGCACCCATTGTATATTAAAGTGAGTTTATGTAAGTGTTCTGGCAGGGCACAGAGAAGGGGGGCTTTTTTTGCTGGCTCTAGGTACAATGTGATGAGTTCACACCTATCGGGGTGATTGGGCTTGAAGCCAGCGTGTGGCAGACCGCTGAAGAATGACAGGGTGTCTATTCTTTCCTCAAACAAGCCTGCCTCAGGCCACTCGATGTGCCACCCTGTGTTTTCTCTTACAAAATGCTCAATGTGGGACAAGATGTGTGGAAAACCGCCCTGAAGTGATTTCAGGGAAAGCTGGCAAAGTATTTCTTGGTGCTGCTTGAGGAGGAAAGGTCACGTGAAGATTTTGTATTAATGGCAAGCAGAGCTGGGTGCCCAGATTACTGTCCATGTTTGCCGGTTTGCCCTGCAATGGGTTGGCGCTCCACCCCAGGTTGTTCCCTGCCTTGTGCCTGTAACCTCCAGGATGGGCTGTGGACTCTCCATGACTTTGAATAGGATAAGCGGTTTCAGAAAGTGGATGGATGGATGGATAGATGGATGCCGGTCCTTTAGCCCACACTATTAATGTATGGAGGGAGAAAAAGAAAACAGTTTCTCCTAGTGCAACACTTTGAAAACAGTCCTGAAATAAATTCTAAAAAGCATGACAAGTATGCTTTTTGCACTTTTGGTTTGTCATGAAGGCACTCCTCAGGTGGAGCTTCTCTGCCATTGTTACTAATATGCTTTTGATGACTGTGGCGCCGGGATAATGGTTATGAAGGCATCAGTCATGCTGCCGTGATAATGGAAACATCAAATGTGTGTGCGTGGTATTTGTAGACACCTTTGATCCACAAATCCAGGTTTTGAAAGAGAGCTCTCTGGCTTTCCGCAGAGTGCGTCTTCCTCGTCCCCCGTGTGTGCTGAGGAACTGATGTTTTTATTCTGCTTTTTGGTGACATGCTGCCCTGTTCCAAACAATTACCTCGAGTCTCCTAACCCCTGGCTCCGAGTCCGGCTATACACACATGCCTTGTCTTACCTATTGACATTGCCTAATAAGGGGGGAGGGAAACATCGCGAGTCCCCTGGGCTACATAAAGCAGAGGTGTACCGTGGGGGTAGGTGGGGGGAGCGTGCTTTGCACACAGCCACTCTGCGTTTCGTGAATTGGAAACGGCTCTGTTTATGAACGCCACGGGAGACACACAGACATCGCTGTGTTTATGGAAAAATCCCTTTGCCAGCATGTCTTGAACTTTAGCTGGACCCGGAGTTGTTGGTGCTGACAGTCGCCGATTTGCTCCTCGCTTCTTCGGGGGCGCCCGCTTTGATTTCCGTGAGGATGATCCGATGTTTCGTGTTCAAAAGCACGTCCGGATTCAGACTGAAATATACTCCAATGGTACAGCCGTATAGAGAGTAATACTTTTGACGATAATGAAATCATATTATTAATACAAGGGATAATGTTTTGCATAATGATTATATAGGCTGGACAAAACAGAATATGTGGTTAGAAAATGGCCAGATAACCACATAGGTTTAGTTCAGTAATATTTGTTATTTTATAAAAGGTCTGTTGGTTCATTTATTATTCACTTGCACGTTGCCGAAACGGCTTTGAAGGCATCCGATCGATTTGACTTTGAAGAGGAAATCTAAGTGGTTTTGACTGTGGTAAAACTATGACAATAGTTAAAGTGCCCGGATTCAGTGCTCAAATGCGCTGCCTCTATTTTCTGCACCGTGACGTCAAGCGGCACCAGCGATCTGCGGCAGTGTGGAGCCTCGGCTTCACGCACGCAGTCTCGCTGTCCCCGGAACCACGATGTATGTGTGGAAGGTGAGGGGGGAGGGGCAGTGTCGGCGGACAAGCCCCCTACACACCTATGATAAATTATTCAGGAGTATAAATAAGGTTTCTGCGTGTTAAATGATGTGGGAAAAAATGGTTCTGCTCTTGTGGATTTTCCATCCTGCGTTTTGGAAGGCAGAAGGGTGGGGGGTAGAAGAAGGGTCATAATTCATACAGATGGGCCAATATTTTATTAGCCAATGAAGTGTTCTGAATCTGCGAGTGACACTCCGGAGGCCAATCAGCATCCAGCTAGGGCCAGTGCCCCTATGGTCCCACCCCTGTATATGCCTGTGGTGCCAAATAAATTCCTCCCCTTCTGCCCTCCAATCATCACGTCCACTGGATCCAGTTATGTTACAGTATTGAAGATAAGGGAGCAGCTATATGCTCCCTGCGGATCTGGGCCTGGGGTGTCACAGTACCTCTGTCAGAGCAGCATTACGCAGCTGGTCCACGCAGTATTGTTCTGACCTATTTGCGACTCACTGATGCCAGCTGACTCACTTCAGGGCTCTAAGTTCCTGGTGCCTCGGGCAGGGGTGGGGGGGGGGGGGGGCGCGTGGTTGCTAAGGAAGGATGTATCTCTACAGGTGACCTCCGCTTCCACCTACTCTTGGTAAACTTCATGTGCCTGCAGGCATTCGTCTGCCACAACAGATGCTCTCTTCTGGTCCCTTCCTGTACTGCTCTGTAATACTGCTTTCTAATGCAGTGTTTCTCAATCCGGTCCTTGGGGACCCACAGCCGGTCCATGTTTTTGCACCCTCCCACCTCCCTGCCAGACAGTCCACATTTTTACTCCCTGCCAGGAGTTGTGAGGAAGCAAAAACGTTGACTGTCTGTGAGTGTCCAAGGACTGTATTGGGATACACAGTTCTAATGTTTTCTCCACAGTTTTCCATTCCCCTGTTATCCGTGTGGCTGATTCGGTCTCTTCCAGTGGCAAGTGTTGTCAGGAAGCCGACCCGAGGTTCCCGCAGCTATCCTGCATCATTGTTCCTCCTTTTACCTAGCAGCTGCTGTATCGGAATGCTAGGAAGTTAAGAGATTTTAATTCCGGGTTTCCTTGGTTCCTGTTCACAGTCGGTAAATGCAAGAGCCAAAATTCAGTCCATATTATTGTATATAGATATGTTCTCCAGTGACTGCACCAAACCAGGCAGCCTGCAAATTCTGTTTTTACAGTAATAATCCCAAACATTTCACACTCTTTCACCCTGGATGATTTTTCAACAGGAATATTGCACATTGCTGTTGCAGACAGTTAAGTGAACTAATTATGATCCTTACAACTCACCCTCATCCAAATGCAGTAGTAACAACAGGATTTTGGGAGCTGTCCCAGGATAATTGCTATGAATTGTTTTTGCATCTTAGCAAATGGGTCCTAACATGGAAAATAATTACAATCTAGATCTGGAAGCTCTCATATGAATAAAAAAACACATGGTTCATATATGGCTATGAAGCATTTTTCTTATTTCAATTATATATGACAATGCATGATATGTCCACTTTAAGTCAGTGTTTTTTCTTGTATGATCATTGCCACATTCATACCAAAACACACACTTCACATTTAAGGCACTCAAGGGAAAAGCATGTAGGAAACATACAAAACTTTTACATGAACGTTACATTTTACCATATGTGGTAACATATGGCTTTAGTAGAAAATACATGTTTATTGCTTGTTGTTTCTTAATAAATTTTATTTTGTTTTTATCATTTTAATGAAAGACATGTATGATCTCTCCGCATTCAGTTCATTTGATTAGACACGAGAAAAGTCTAGTTATGTACTCAGAATACGAAGTTTGTGGAACCACTGTCCCTGATTCAATTGAGTTCATTTATACCACTCTCATTCTCATCAATTGAGAACTATGCATAAAAACTAACACTGACAAAACATTCATTTAATATGCATTGTCCATGTAATGACACATTAAGTTAAAATGAATTATATATTTACTTTGAGTGTCATGCAAAGAGTTTATATGATATAGGTAAAACATAAGAGTCATGCGTTATTTTTGAACTTTTCCATTTGGGCTGTCTGTGCTCCTATACAGTCTTTATAAATCACATCTTTATATTTGATATTCTACATTTGGAGTTTCAGGGTCGTTTATTCAAAGCACGGCTTTTTTTTTTTCAGGAGTGCCCGAGTGGAGTCGTCAATGAAGACACATTCAAAGACATCTACTCTCAGTTTTTCCCACAGGGAGGTATGTTACCAACATGTTTAAATCCCTTCATGGCAAATGTAAATGCTTCAGGCCATTGTGAGGATTCTTCCATAATCACAGACAAGTTCTTGGAACCAGCCTTTGAATACTTAGAATAATACAGAATCTCCCCAATATTGAAACTCAACGTTACCTACAGAGCCGTATGGTAATTGTTTGTAATGTTAAGTGACTGTGGTTTTGCTGTATCTGCACCTCAAACACAATGACACTAATCACCTAGAGTCTGACCCTTTTCCCATATCCCAGATAAAGCCCCCTTTCCATTCACCCACCCATATGTCACGTAGTTTCTTTTAGCCCCCCCCCCCGCCCCCGGAGCAAGAAAAACAATCCCAAACAAATAGCGAGTTGAAAGACAGGCTTATGGAAAAGGGATTTTCTCGTCCTGTTTACCCGTCGCTCACGGGGGCAATGTAGCTCTGCAGCCCTTAAGGTGTTTGTCTTTCCAAGACTTTCGGAAAGGGTTAGTCTACTGCCTTTGCCTCTGACAACAAAACAACGGGCTTGGCATGTTTGTGGTTGGTGTCAAATTAAATTAAAAAGAAATGATAAACGATTCATCCATCTGTCATCGTTGGGGGGGCTTAGGGAAAGATACACCCTGAAACTGATACCTGTCTATCTCAGGGCAAACACACCCTCTGACCATGGGCAACTACTACACACACCCTCTGACCATGGGCAACAATTACACAAACCCTCTGACCATGGGCAACTACTACACACACCCTCTGACCATGGGCAACTACTACACACACCCTCTGACCATGGGCAACTACTACACACACCCTCTGACCATGGTCAACTACTACACACACTCTCTCACTATGGGCAACTACTAGATGTATGTATTTGGAGCTCAACACATGAAATAAATGAAGCAGAATCAGCACACAAACCATATAACAGTCAAGATTCTTAGTCACAGTATGATGACTTCACCCTTCAGGTTACATTTCTTGTTTATATATCAGACACTATCCAAAGCAACATAGATTTTTTGAGAAAGCAGGGCCACCCAGTCCCTGGAATGGTTGTGGGTTAAGGGCTTTGCTCGATAGTGATATCACTCTACCAATGCTGGGATTCAAACCAGCAACCTTCCGCTCACGGGCAAACCCACTTAACCACACACCAGCTGAAATGTATGCTAAGATGTCATGTTAATGGGATTTAACCAAGAACCACGGATCTCAGTGTAAGTAGCTTAGTATTTCTGTTTCTCAGCTGACTCTGCTGGTGTCCATTTCCTTTCAGATGCGTCCACTTACGCCCACTTCCTGTTTAATGCCTTTGACACAGATCACAATGGCTCTGTGAGTTTTGAGGTATGAGCACAGAAGACCGTCATAAATTACAATTACAATTATTCTGATTCACCCAACGCATACAAATGCCTGCAGTTTTTAATGCATACTTAATAAAAACGGGCAACATTAACAAATATTCACTTTGAAATGCATAATGCAAAGCAGACAAGACCCACTAATGTCACCAGTAAATGAATGCTCATTTTAATCATTTAGTTATTTCTGATTCAGTGCGACAACGCCAGTATCCCCCTGACTGATTGTAAATGTAGTAATGAATTGTGCGCACTCACAAGCGGTTGGTTTCATTGAAGCTGTAACTGTAGGTGAAGTCTCTTTAATGTCAGAGAATTTGTAATACCTGTATTAAATTCTCCTTTATGTAATTTAAACATAATCTACACACAGACACACACACACAAGGAGCCATATACATATATTTGTGTGTGCATGTGTATATATATCTGAAAGGTACCTGCAACATATAGCTGTATATTGCGTCTGGATCATCATGCTTAACATTTACCGATTCCTGACAAAATCTTTTTGCAGGACTTCGTCATGGGGCTGTCTATACTGCTGCGAGGGTCTGTCCAAGAAAAGCTGAACTGGGCATTTAATTTGTACGATATCAATAAAGATGGATACATAACTAAAGAGGTAAATAGGGCCAGCAGCTGGTATATGTGATATCATACTTGCATATTGTGCTATATACTGTATATCAGAGTCAAGAATGAACGTTTTATTGTCTTATGTAGAGAGCAATTCTTCTTTCAATGCCTTCTCTACAGACTACAGACAGTTAAGAGAAAATTAACAGAGCAGTGCAACATTACAATACAATAAATGTTAAGTACAAAACTATCATGTGTAACTAACATACAATACATCATACAACACGAGGTAGTAAAGTTATATGTGGGAGAGCAAAGAGATATAAAGTGGTATAAATGAGATACTGATTTTTTAAAGATATTTATTCTTCCTTGTTTGATTATTCGTGTAGGTGTGTTTAATGAACGAATTTTCTATTATTGAATTATCTTTTCTTAGGAAATGCTTGACATTATGAAATCTATTTACGACATGATGGGAAAATGTACATATCCCATTCTGAAAGAGGAAACTCCTAGACAGCACGTGGAAATTTTCTTTCAGGTAACGCCTTGACTTAAAACGTGTTGTTTTCTTCAGGCTATAGCCTTGATTTATTTATTTATTGAGCGTTTTTGTGATTTTCTTTCACCTGCTTACTAGAAAATGGACAAAAACAAAGATGGAGTGGTCACCATAGATGAGTTTATTGACTGCTGCCAAAATGTAAGTCCCACATCTTCCACTTTTGTTAGATGACAATATCAGAGTGTTTTCAACAGTCAAGGGTGTAGGTGTCATTTCAGCATTGGTAGGAAGTCCAGAGGTGGATAGTTCAGATCCAAAAAGTTAAAATCCAGACCAAGATTTCATTTCAAACAACTAGTTCACTACTTTATATTGAACTGGTTGATTGAAGCAAAATCTTACCCTGGATTTTACCTTCTGGACCTGAACTATCCACCAAATCAGCCCCAACCCCCCCAAAACACACACAGTACCCCCACAATATTGGTAGGGGCATTTCCCTACCATCCATATCCGAATCTATGCCTTTAACTGCAATCCACATCACAAAACAAAAAGGAAACTGTTTCTGAACTTGTTTACTTGGGTTCTTAAATGCCTGTTTTAAATGAGAGTTTCTGACTAAAACGTTTGTAATATGGAGTCCCAGGCTTCGTCTACCTAGCGGCCATCGTTCTGCTTGTGGCCTAGCTAACACGTACACTACTGCTCTTCTTTTTACAGGATGAGAACATAATGCGGTCAATGCAGCTCTTTGAAAATGTCATTTAGAAGTGGAGGAGTGTCCTGGACTCTCTCAGAGGTCACATCCTCCTTCTTCCGGACAGCCTCTGAGAGGGACCTTTAATTCCATTCTGCGTGATGTCACCACCTTGCGTCGGGGTGCGTTCTGTGTGTGGGAGGATTATGCAAAATAAGCTTATGTCATTCTACAGCTCCCATGATTTAAATCCCGAATAAGGTTTTATTATTATTATTATTATTGTTTCCTGTTTGATAGTCTACATTTCTTGTTTCTTGTTTTGTGTTGTAGAAATGGGGGAGGGGGAAATAAAATCCAGATTCTTTTACATGTAAAAACAAACATTTCAGCGTCGCTGCTGGTCGCTGGTCATCGAGGTCCAGTTCGGTCGGCCTGATGTCCACGTCTCTCTGCGTTTGTGTCGTGCTGGAATGGCCTCCCTTTGGAGAGAGTGTGTCATTCTGTTAAATTTGTGTTTTTGGGACTTTATGCGCTCATCTTTCTGCCCCCGTCATCAATGTACGAGTTTCACAAGATACCACTATGATTTGTCATGAGGCGATGCATCCTACTGCGCTACTACTGCTGAGAAAAATAACGAGTGTTGTCTTCGCATTCTCCCAGAATGTTGCCATCTAGCGGCGCCTGTTCATTGTGCTCCTTTTGTGTGCTATATGTTCATTAATGCTTCCGCATTGGTTTTAAACTCTGGAATAACCATGAGCCTCTCCGTCAGCCAGACGTGGCAGAAGCATGCTCGATCAAACTTGAAATTTCATGTCTGATGAAATGCTCCACTGTGGACAAAGAGTCCGTTTGGAACACTTTTTCTACAGCTGTAGATACTGAATAAATGAAGTTACAGACGCGTTTGCGAGCTGTTTTCTGTTTAGTAAGACTCAAAAAGCACATCTGCAGTATTTGGGGTCACAGGGTCAAATGAATACCTTGGACGTATCTCTGTTAGCTCCAGCTCTCCCTCCTTATTCTACCGTTCTCTAGCATCTGCCGCTCATCTATGGTGTCCTTCAAGAAAAGCAGGGCTGTCAAGGTTCATGCAAATGTTTAATGTCCCAATAGCAGAGTGACAGTCTCACCCCAAAATCTCGACTCACTTCCTGTGCAGCAGGGGACCCTTGACCGCTGGCAGTTTGCACTATGAGAAGCTTTGCAAAGAGCTCATATACCGTGACCCTGCAAGTGGAATCTATGGAGCCATGCGAGAACCTTAATAAAAAACAATCACACATTACAAAAACAAGTTTTCAATTATATCAACAAAGGGGAGATTTTCATTTAGATGCAAGCCCTGGTGAGCAGTTATTTGTCGTTTTTAATAATCTTACTCCCAAATTTGCAGTTTTGTTATTCTATTATTCATTTACTTTAATAACAAGTCAAGTGATTTATGTGTGTGTGTGTGAGTGGGTATACCTGTCCTTATGGGGACACAATGTCCCCATAGCTTGATAAATATCTGTTTTTTTTTTCCCTTACGGAGACCAGGTGCCCATAAGGGAAAACTCTATTTTATAAAAATCGGTGAATGCTATGAAAGAACTAAAAATGCAAAAACTCTTGTATTTAGTTTGGTTACTTATGGTTATGGTTGGGGCTGGGTGGGGGTTAAGGTTGTCATAGTTAGCGTTAGCATTTTTCCCATAGAAGTGAATGAGCGGTCCCCATAAGGATAGGTGTACCCGACGTGTGTGTGTGTGTGCGTGTGTTTCATCTCATCCAGCCAAGGACAGCTTGTTTTACCAACCTAGCCATGATTCTGGGGCACTAGCATGTACTGTTTTTCAACATAAATGTCACAAATATCAAAGAATTCAAGCAACAGTACTTCTCCTTTAAAAAGTATATTTTAATAGTAAATGTATAAAGTTAATATGTTCACTGAATTAGCTTTGGGTGTTAAGCCGTTAGGATGTGAATCCTCCATCTAACAGTTTAAGTATCTACCTTTTTAGGTGTAATTTACTGGGGTATTAAGGGGTATTTGTATACACAAAAGAATGTTATTCTACCATTTCAGATTCACAAACTTAATATTGCACACACGTGTCATTACTGTCAATATCTCCCAGACTGCAATCGAAAGAGTCGTGGTGGCTCATGGCCTGATCTTTTGGAAAACCTCAGGCAGCTGATGTTGGCGAATAGCTTGCTGAATACCGCAGTAGCAACGCTCTACATTCACACTGTTTGAGAAGGACTACCGGATTGGCCAACTCCTTAATACTCATAAGCAAAGCGTGTCTCCACCCTGTTTAGTTTTATGGAAATTCTTTAGGATTAATAATTATGCTCATGGTGAAGCTGCTGAATGCATGTTACCTTTGTTCTGAAATTTATAAAGGGATAGCATCTGAGAGGTTAGTCGTGAAACCCCTTTGTAATTCTACAGTGAAATTGCAATCGGCCATTTTTCTCCTTTTACATTAAATTGCAAATGATTTTTTGTTTGTTTCTGGTGCTATTCAGTAATGTGGTTTGATCTGCTGACTCTTCAGTGAAATATGTCCAAAATTTAAGTAAGCAGTAGGACTTTTTGACGAATAAACGTTTGAAATGAATCTTTTTAACTAAAAAACTGTCCCACATACTTTTACTTGAATAGCTTGACACAATTCCTGAACTCCTGCTTTTAACGAAGATTTTAACAGGTGACACTTGTAAGTTTTTCTGTCACGGTTAGCAGAATGATATCTTGGGTTTTTTGATCCCTTATGCTGTCCTTTCAGGATGTCATGTGTATAAACATTTTTAACAATTCTTGGGATTTTCTGCATCTTCATTCCCTCACGTACTGAGAAATATTCTGTTGAGATGGTGTTTTTTGCTCTGGACCCATAAAGACACCGACCGCGGTTTTTGCTAGGTTTGCTTCAGTTCATCTCCATATTTCCCGGCTTAAATGTTCCAGTTCATCAGCAAGAAGTTTTTCTGCAAAAAACACTGCAGTTAAATGCATTCTTGATGCATGGCACAAACAGCTGCAATGTTCAGATTCGTAGCTTGAAAAAAAGGGAAAAAAAATACAGAAACTGTGATACAAAAGAGAACAATATCGTGTGTAAATAGCCCACCAGGATCCGAAGATAGTACCCTTGCCATGCCATAGGATGGGGAGGGCATGTTCTACAGTAGGAGATCCTCTGGTCTGCAAAGGACTGTTTTACTTCATGTACCTGCACTTTAAAAAAAAAAAAAAAAACATGACATCTTGTCCTTCAGCTCTGGCCTGAAAGACTGTAGCTTAAGGGTGAAAGACAGTGTTTAACTCTATGTAGATTTGAGGTTGAAAACTGTATAAACGCAAGTATGTAGGAAATCTCCGAGCACGAAGCCTGAATCTGATTGAAATGTCTCTGTGTATTTAGATGTGTGCATTTTCTAAAAAAAAAAAGAGAGAGAGAGAGAGATTCAATAAACAACTCAAACATGATTCTCCTTGACTTTGTCCATGTTTTTTTCAGTCTTCTTTACAGGTTGTGTGTCCTTTTCAGTATTGAAATTATTCCGGCATTATACTATTTCAACCTGCGTTTGCGCCTCTCTGCTGTGTATTTTGTCTTGTATGTATTCTCTGTCCACGTTATGCCAAGTTGTTTCCGACTGCAGCGAACTCTGCTGACACAAATTTCCAAAGGCATTTGTCATGGGGCCATAAAGCTTCTCGTACAGCATCGGATAAACCCCTTCAAGAAGACGCTGCCAAGCTTCAAGAGTTAGACACTGATATTTGTACACGTAGCCATATTTCCTTTGATTTCTAAGCATCCCTAATTGCCAGCCAATGAAAAACAGGTATACAGACAAGTGAATTTGCAGTTAGAGCTCAGTATCACCCCATTTATTGTCTCCGGTTACATGCTTTGGTCTATGGGCTTTGCTGAAGGGTCCAGCGCTGATATGGGTTATACTGTCAGCCATAGGACTCCATCTGATATCCCTTAGAACAAAGGCACCGATTTCTAACATAGAGGCACGGTATGTTCTCCTTTTGGGGCATTAGGAAGTCAAGTTTCTAGAAATGGAACAAGATGCATTGCCTGTACTACAGACTTTAAAAATATATATTACTTTTTTAGACAGACCGACCGACTGTCTTTTCCTCCTTGACAAATTATTTTTAGACATGTATAAAACACACCATCCCGTCCGACCGGTCCATCCATCCGTCGGAATGCAAATGGTTAAATATTACACACACACACGTGTGTATATTATATATATGTCCTGATTTTAGCACACATCATTTGATTGATGAGATCCTTAAGATGCCCTTTTTTGCATTAGCATGTTTTGGAATGTGCCTTTTATGAGCCACATAACAGATCAATAGCACAAGCATCATTTCCATCTTACACACCCGATTCACTGCTGAAACAGCAGCGTTCCATGAAGACTGGCATGTACAGCAGCTCACACTTTCGAATTTCGAGATCTGGCAATTTATTACTTTTTTGTGAACACTTTGCGCCCCCTATGGGGTACATCAGAGAACTGCAACTACTGAGTACTGAAAGCTGAACAAATAAAAATATTTTAATAGGTCGAGGTTTGTACAATTTCCAGTCATGTTGGCATATGCAAACTGGCGGAATATCTAGAATTCTCAAAAATAATTTTCAAGAACCATTTTTAAGAACGATAGTAAAATATATTTTTATTTGTCTGAGGTTTGATGAACCGTTTAAGGCAGAGAGGAATTCAGTTTTGCTTACCACGGTTGTTTTTCATGAGGGGAAAAAAATTGCCTAATACAGAAATTTCACACATTTCACACAGCTTTGCAATATACCGATGGATGAAAAAAAAAATTTCAGCTAAGTTAGGAATGCTTAAACAAACTGTGTGTACACGATACACAATGTGCAAATTCCAAATATTAATCTTTGGCTATTTCAGATCATTTTCAGCAAGTTTTAACTTATATGCGGAACACGTCTGTTGAAAATCTGATGTATTCCATAGAATTTAGATAAATGTTCATGAGAAAATATAAGTTATTCAAGACGGCACATAAAGATATAATAGACTTTCCTTCAAACTGATTATTCTCTACTCTCAGGAGTTAAAAGTCCAGAACTTTAAATGGTCCTTTTCTATTAAAAAACATTACCTTGGAAAGTGAACAATGTAACAGACAATGTGATATATTTCCAGCAACAATGCACTTGTATTCATTTAATATCCACTGGGGAATTTTGTCTTGACCAAAAGGCTGCCAAGTAGAATTCTCCTTTCGCTTTACTCATAAATTGGCATAGTAGAGCCATTAAAGTCATTATTTATGACTATAGAGAATGTAATGTTGAAACTTCTTTGAAATTGGTCCTCTGTTCAAGTCCATCTGACTCGCAAGCAAAACATCCAGTCATTACTGTGAAGAGCTAAACCTGGTTATCCACATCTACTGCGTGATGTGTAGAGGCAGGTGCCCTGATGTGAATCGGCCTTAGAATGTGTATACGGGAGGTCGTGGCTCCTCGAAGGTGTGCATTTATGTGCGATGAAAGAATTTTGCATAAATGCTGTTTGTTATAGCACAGACAGAGAAGACTCTGATCCAGTACAGCCGTCTGGTGGAACGCCGGGGAGAAGCAGGCTGGGGCCCGCAGGACCCCGATCGGGCGACGGGGGTCAGGTGAGAATCTGCCGGATCTCTCTGTGGACGTGGCACAGGAAGTCCATGTAGGAGGGGCCGCCGTGAAGCCCGGGGTCCTCCACGAGGCGCTGAAGGAACAGAGCCTCCATCTTCTCCTTCTGCTTGACCACCAGCAGCTGGGAAACAGAGCAGAGCCAAGCCACAAAAATCACTTTGGCGTCATCAGTAACGCAAAGCTGCTTATTCTTAATTTTTTGTACGTTCAGTACAAACAAATCTGAAGAATAAACATTGCATTCATACACAATTTAGGCAGCATAAGCTTATATAATCTTATATAATATAAAAATATATATATTATGCACATAACGGTCATTTATTTAAATGACCTTAACAGCTTATTATCAGCTGGTACGGCTTTTGAAGTTTAAAGATATTTCGTCGGATAAACACAGTAAGACTGAGGGAAAGCTGACTCATTCAGGCACAGACAATGCAAAAAAACAACAGCATAAATAAATAAAGAACAGATAATAGACAATTAGACAAACAGCAGCACAGTGGAAATGAGTAGCACTTAGGCTCATTACTATTAACATAAAGTGGACAGTGCAGCAATACCGCAGTCTTCATAATTCTTTGACATGCATGACTCTTTTGTGTTTTTATATTTACCCATAAGCCCCTGCGTACCTTCATGGAGTAGGGCCTTTGCTGGGTGATGAGGTCGATGATTGCACGGAGCCTCTTAGAGTGTGGGTTGTCCAATTCTGGCAGGGTGCCCTACGGGGTAAAGTACTGGATTAATGGCTAAAACATTTCATCCAGCTTTACAGTCGATGTGTGGCCCCAGTGGGCTATTCCTCTGGGACTGTGACCAGAAGGGTGTTGGTTCAAGCCCCGGTTTCCGCAGAATCTCCATCGGATTCCCGAGCAAGGCCATTAACTCCCGGAAAAGCCCCTGGGATGCCAGATAAATGGTCCGACCCTGCACTCGGACCCCAAGTTTCCCTCTCATTTGAGTAGATGTGTGTCCATCTCAAAGGAGAGCGAGACTGGATGTGAGAAAACAGAGGTATTCCAAAGTACCTGTACTGGTTCTTGGAAAAAGACAAATGAAGGATTGTCTCATTTAATGGTTTTCACAACCTGTGTGTCTGTAACACCTGAGGCATTCTGGGAGGAGGGGGATCTCACCACGACGGCGCTGACGTGGGCGAAGGAAGGCACACCGAAGATGCTTTGCACTAGAGTGGGGGGGCAGGCCTGGCCTAGCCACAGGATGATCTGGCGGCCGTCTTCCAGCAGGTAGAGTCCCTGTTCACTGAGGCGTTCCCGAGAGCAGCGCACGGGCGGTGGGATCGCCATGGAAACCGGGTCAACGTCATGCTGAGGAAAGGAAGGTGTGAAGATCAAGTCAACATGGTAGCTATGGATTGTTATGCATGCATGCATCCATCTTCCACATGCTTATCCAGGTGTGGACCATATTGGGCCTAGAACCAATCCTAGGCCACATAGGGCATCAGTCTGGGGAACACCCTGGATGAGATTCCTCTCCACACACACAAACACAGACAAACAATACAGCTGGTTTAGAGACCAAAACACTCAATCCATTTTTGTTGCTTTTGAGATGAGATGGTTAATGACCTAAAGTCCGGCTTCCTCATCATATGTCACAGATCTGGGAATGAAAACTCACTTGACTGAGTGAGTTTTGGAAATTTGCTCTTTAGTTTACCTAACTGTATGATTTTGGATAGAAGGAAGAAACTGGAAGCCAGTATAACGCAGGGGGAGTGTGCATTCTCTAGGACAGCAGTAAAACCCCCAACAATAGGGGTGTGAGGTGATAGCGCAGCGCCCCCCCCCCCGCCCCCGCCCCCACTGGAGGCGACGACAACATGCCCTGTGACCTCACCAGTGGAATGAGGCGTGGGTAGAAGAGGGCTTGCGTCTCTTCCACACCCATGCCCAACACCATCAGCCTCTGCAGAGCCCTATCATCCGTGGAGAGCTCCACACTGGCCACTAGGGCGGCGCTCTTCAGGAGGCTGTTCATATATGCCGGGAACACCTTCATGGCATCAGGCAGAATCAACTGGCGGAGGCACAGGCAGACAACGTTTAGATTTGATACTCTCCATAACTAAGGCTTATCATACTTCTGTGATTCCCATAAAACAACAAACAGTGAAAACAATGCCACGTCATCCAGCTATGATTCAATACGATTTATGTATGCCCCCTTGTTCCATAACCATCTGGGGTGGACCAGCAGCGTGGGTTATGAAAACATTGTTGGTTTGCTTGAGTTATAAACTCCAAAGTCCAAGACAGGCAGTTCTTGATTTATCGAAGTAATCCATTCCACAAAATTCTACAGACTTACCCATACCATTTATGATATCTTTCATCACAAAACACATAAGCCAAAATATTCCAGTAATACATACTAAAGAACAAATTAAATGAATGAAAAGAACACGTGTAAATTGAGTTACAGGAATATGTTGCTTTTTTGCGGTAGCGTTTCCATGAACTCTATACGACTTGGATATCAGATTTACTCAAGCAATTCACTTATATTTACTCATGCAATTCACTTACATTTGCATGTAATTCTCATGCAAAATCGGGAGCTACTTGTTACTTTGTAACTTGGAGAGTACAAAGTTACATTTACACGTTTAGCAGACGTGTTATGAGAAAGCAGGGTCAACCAGGAGCAAGCACTGCTGAAATGACTCTAGCAACCATGGGATGTGAACCAGGGACAAACAGAAAAAGCTAAATGTTATTCTTATATAGTTTTCCTGTCAGATGACTACTAATCTTATTAAGGGTCACAGATATTCTTTTAAACAAGTTAAATACATTTGTACATCAAATGCTAATTGCCACAATGGACCAAAAGGAAGACATTTCCTGTGAGAAAAAGGAAAAGGACGCCCATTTGAGCCCTCTGAGGGCGTGTAATTTGGAGGGTCGGGTATCTTACAACACTTGACATTGCATCTAACCCACTTGGCAGAACGACTTCTGCTGGGAACTCGGGACTGGCAGTAAACAAACAGGGCAGTCAGCTGTACGTGCGGAGGAGCATCGCACTGTGATGGCAAGGACTGGCCAGCAGAGGGCCCCCGTCAGCCAGAAGCTGTAATGCCACAGCTGGTGGATGTATGTGCTAAAGAAACCGCAGACATTTCAGGGTTAAACGCCTGTCCTACAAAAGACCACTTCGCTATACCCAGACATGGCCAGAAGGTGGCAGTGTGGCTCAAAGTTCTAGACTGTGTTCTCTTAGTCATCACTGGTAACTTGGTGACTCTAATTTGCCCTAAATATGTGCCTTTGTGCCTATATTTGCACATGCTGCAGAGTGGTAGGTGTTGACTGTTTTGGGGTATCTTTATTTTATCACTTTTCATTATGCTTGTTTATTTCCCTGTGAAATGTTCTATTTTCTTGACTGAAATCCCCGGAAAGTGTGTCTGACCTGGCTCATGGCCGAGGGCGTGGCGCAGTGCTTCCTGTAGCAGGCCAGCATGTGGGCCGTCTCGCTGGCCAAGCCCTCCCGCACCACCTTCAGCGGCTGGTTCAGCATGGCGCCATACGCTGGCCGGGAGGAGCAATGACACGCCAAAGTCAGCCTACATCAGTCATTATCATGTCATCCAGGTTGCGTTATCATGTTGTCATGTTAAAACAAGTGGTTCTCAAAATGTGCTGCACAGATCCAGTCAATCCTATAGGCAACATAGGTGACCACCTAAGGCTCAAACTTCTGAGGGGGTGCCAACTAGCCAGGCAAGTTCACTTTGCCTCAGATTGGGGGTGCCGAATTGGCTAGGTCCAACCTTGGTGTTATGCGTACCACCAGTGATACTTGGAGTGCCCCCTTGTGTTACGTGAGAAGATGACGGTCACTTATTTTTGTGATTCAGGTTACTGTGTTTTTTTTGTTTTTTTTACCCATGTGACACTTGGCTTTCTGCGTTATTGGCGAAGTGGTACATGGTCCAAATACGATTTCATGGTCCAAGTAGTCGAGTCAACTAAGCAAAGGAGTGTAGTGTGGATAAAGCCACCTGATTTGGCGAAGTAGTTGATGAGGGCATCGGTCTCGCAGCTCTTGTAGAGATCAGTCAGCTGGGAGCAGCAGTTGAGGCCGAGGTTGTGGATACGCAGCCGCCTCCGGCCGCCCACGGTGGTATAGAGCAGGGCGCACTGTGGGCGGGAGCACAGCATGCTGGGATACATCCTCTGGGAATGTGGCATGGGGTGGGCAGCAGGAACACCGGGCTCACCTGAAGCAAGGCCCCCGTGTCCTCGCTGAGCGCGTCGTCGTGTTTGAACTCCACGGTGACGGCCTTGTGGCAGTCCACAGCGGCCATCTCCACGTCGGTGGTGTTGCTCATGTAGACGGACCCAAAGAAGTTAGTGGCCCGGAAGCCTGAGGCAAATACAGACATGTGGGTGTAAGATCTGGCACCCCCTGGGTACTGCAGCCAGGGTAAACTGGCATATTATTATTGTACTGGCGGGGATGTGATGTCACACTTTTCGTAAAGGCACCACACTATAATGAACCGTAATGTACCAGGCAGACTACAGTAAATGACGGTTCCACAAAAGAGATTAATATGTCAATATCAAGATATTAAACCACAGGGAAAACCACAAAATGCTTAACTAAGTCACTTATTCACAAAAAAAATCCAAGAGGAATCTCTTCCTTCCTCACCCGTGCTGGTCCGGACGCGCATGATCGCGTCGAATCCGATCGGCTGCTCCACGTCTCTCCTCAGATCGCTCAGGAAATGGTCACCATCGGCTTCCACCTGAAAGGTGGCAACGTTCCGGTTTCTCTGCACCTCCAGCTATGCCCCGAGGCGCCGGGCGGGGTCACTATCCGCGCCTGTCTGGCCGGCGCACATAGGCGGCACGCACCTGGAAGTTGGAGTACATGTGGACGGACCCCCCGGTGTGCAGCGGGACGTCTCCCATACTGGCCACATCCACATACTGGCTGGGGAAGAGGAAGAGGTCCACACAGCAGCCGCTAGACACGCAGTCCTTGGACAGCTGCTCGTAGGCGCCCCTCGCTGGCTGGAAGAGAGACTGCAGCACAGAGAGGCAAGTACACATCTACTCCAGCTCTTTGGCTGTCATCTGAGCGGAATATGGATCCTTTGAGTTACAGAAAAAAATGGCAGAATCCTGAACTCAACACACAACACAGTCGAGTCAGGAGTAAAACGCAGGTCATATTATCCGCCTGAGTTAATAAATAATTAGAGATGCACCAATACCGATATTCGGATCGGTATCGGCGCTGATCCAGACCTATTTGACGGATCGGGTAGCAACCATGCGTGACCGATCCACGTCCTATACTTACTTATTTAGTTTTTGGCAATCAATCGCACGACAGCTCTTTCCCATTTTACATGTGTTTTTTTGGGGCGTTCAAATCAAACGCTAACGCTGCCCCTCAGTCTTTTTTGCTACTCGGTGGGTGTGAGTACAGTGACTTCCACCTGCTGTGACGTCATGCGCATACCCTTCGCAGTATGAGAAGCGTAAGATAAGACGTAACGATCTGGGAGTATTTTACGCTTTTAACAGAAACCAGTAGCAAAGCGATTTGCAATCTATGTAAAATAAAGTTTTGAGGTGGGAATAGCGTTTAATGGACAATCCTATTTAACTGCGAGACAAAGCAAAGCAATGGATGATTTGGGAGTGGCTAACTTAATTAGACTGTTTTGCGAACTTGCTGCAGCTTAATTGTGATACAAGAGGGGCTGCCATCTCAACAAAGTGTAACTGAGCTGACGCCAATGGGAGAAAAACTGTTAAAATTTTAAGCATTCGCCACTTGTGTATACTTGTTTTGAAGATATTCATATTGCACTGCAAATGCCTCAAAAACGCTTAAAACAAACGAGGTGGAACAGTATATTATGTATGTTTGTAGTAGCCTAATTAAATATTTTTTGTCATACATTTTTCCATCCGTATTCACTAGCTTAAAAAATTTATATATAAAGTATAACAAAGTAAAAAGAGCTCTTGTATTGGAATCTGTATCGGTATCGGCAGTTGTGTATCGGAAACGGATCGGAACTGAAAAAATGTGGATCGCCCATCTCTATAAATAATAATATAAAAGATAACAGAAATGTAACATTTTCAGGACACTCAAATTGACGGCACAAAGAATTTAAAGAACAAGTTAATAGCAGCAATAAAATCAGGAATGACAGAGCCATGAGCTTTCAAGCAGATGGACTCAAAGTAAATATTCCAGCCTAAAAAGGCGAGATTTTAAATGCACTTAAAGTGTTATAGAGCCCAATCAACGGATGTGAGGGGGAAGAGTGTTCCAGAGTTTGGAAAACGGCTGTAGCACCCGTCGTGGAGAGTTTAATGCCTGGGACAGAAGGGGCAGAGGTGGACATTTCAGCTCCAGAAAGTAAAAATCCAAACCAGGGATTTTATTTCAACCAACCCGCTGAGTATAAAGAGTTACCGTTACAGAGTACTCAACTGGGGATGGAGGGAGTGCAGGTCTGCAGAAGATTGTATAGATAGGAGGGGGCGAGGTTATGGGGAGCCGCGAACGCTAAAAATAACTGCAGGCTTTCGTCTTTGAAAAGAACAGCCTGACAGAAACGGCCGCATCACGGAATCGATGAGAGACGGGACGGGTCTGTACCTTCTCTTTCTCCGTGTTAACGAGCCTCTTGTCCTCCCGGTTCCGGAGTTTCCCAGGGGCCTCGGCAGTTGGGAGAGAGGAGTGGAAAATGAAGAGTTTGCCGCTGCGCTCTGCAGCCTGCACAGAAGAGAGCAGCAGGGGGGGCTAGTGAGTCAGCAATTGGCAGCAGTCACATCCCTGATGGCTACTGCCTTTTACTCCATGCAGATCATTGGGTATAATGAGGTCACATTCTGGCAGGGATGACTAGTTTCTGGGATTAGTAATAACACAGTAAGGATGACATGATTAAGGTCCTTATCCAGTTAGTCATTATTTTGAAAGTCATGCCTTATTCTTGCCATTCAACATATCGATTTTATTTTATTGTATGACCAGAACAAATGACTGTCAGTAGTTGTGGTGACTGTCGGCACAAACTTTCTTCCAATTTCTCCTGATAAGAGACTTACTGTGACCGAGAGGACTGTAAACTCTCTGTCCTCTGATCTTCTGGTCTTATAAGGGGAGGGTGTTTAGACAGAGTAAAAGTGCCAACCAGCGATCCATTAAGAGGACCAGACAGAGGTGGAAAGTTCGGGTTCAGAACGTACAAATCCAGACCAAGATTTTGTTTCAACCTACCAGCTGAGTATAAACGGTCACATTCACAGAGTACTGCGCTGGTTGGATGAAACAAAATCTTGGTCTGGATTTGTACGTTCTGAACCCGAACTTTCCACCTCTGCACGTGTAAAACCCATCAGCTGGGCTGTGTGTTCGGTGTCGGTGCTTGAGGCAATGCTCACTTTCAGAGCCTCTACACCGGCCTGGATGACGGGCGCAAACACGGTCTCGCTCTCACTGGTGTCGGCAAACATGTCGGGGATCTGGTCTAGCAGGCTGGGGGGGGGGGGGGGCAGAGAGGGGGGTGAAGATGGGGTGTGTGTGTGCACTGATGGACAATTCACACACGGCGTTAAACATCTTGGAAAAAGTCATAATTTTTCATTTATTCCCAGATTGTCGTCGTCTTGATCATCAGCTGGGCTGTGTGTTCGGTGTCGGTGCTTGAGGCAATGCTCACTTTCAGAGCCTCTAGGCCTGGATGACGGGCGCAAACACGGTCTCGCTCTCACTGGTGTCGGCAAACATGTCGGGGATCTGGTCTAGCAGGCTGGGGGTGGGGGGGGGCAGAGAGGGGGGTGAAGATGGGGTGTGTGTGTGCACTGATGGACAATTCACACACGGCGTTAAACATCTTGGAAAAAGTCATAATTTTTCATTTATTCCCAGATTGTCGTCGTCTTGATCATCGTCTATCTATCGGACGTTTTAGTCAGGAATGAGCTGAGAGCAGCACAGCGACAAAGCGGCCGTACTTGTTGATGACGGCGCGGGACTCCTGGAAGTCGACGAGGAAGCCGTCCAGCAGGGGCACGAACATCTCAGCCACGTCGGACACCACCATCATTTGGGGCTGTGCCAGGGAGCTCTTCACGTTGTAGAAGTGCAGGACCTTGTTGTAGGTGACGAAGCCCACCTTGATGGCAGACCGCTCAGCCCCCTCCTCCCTATAAATAATAATGTGTCCATGGGCAGAGCACATGTGTGATACCTCTGGCTGTATAGACCTCCCTCCGTCCGCACGGTACCGGCGTAAACACCAGGGCGGTGATGAATTAACTCTGCTGCATTATCTTGCGTGGCGCGAACTTTTAGGGGTCCTTGTATATTTTGAGTTTGGGAAAGCAACTTCCCCAGTCATGTATCATCCCTGAGAGCTCTGTAAACAATCCAAGCCAAAAATCTCCCCCCCCCCCCCAAAAAAAAGCCTGTGATAATGTGTTTTCCATATTACACACATATTTCTGTTTGGTCGTTCCATCTTTTGTAAATCTGTGGTAAAAGGCATGTCCCTCTAGAACAGAGCTCTTCAAATCTGGCCCTCGATTCCAAATCCAGGCCTTGTTTTCAGTTCTCCCAGGTAGTTAGTTTAATGATTACTGAACTCTAATTGGCCACAGAGTCTCACTGATAAAGGAATGCTGGGAAATCAGCAGTGCTTGGACCTTGAGGACCGTGATTTGATCCCTGCTCTAGAAAGTGCTACCCCGCTACAGGTGTGGATCAAAGTGAGAGTGGCTCCCATTGTGCCACACAGGCAAACACAGCCGGCCACATCACCACCGTGTGCGTGTTGACCTCCACTGTTATGCTGAGGACATACAGCTATATACATCAGCCAAACCAGGTCCCCCGTCACGGCTGTCAAAGACTGAGGAATGTTTGTTAGATGAGAGGAGATGGATGGCCTGCAACATCCACTTACTACGCCAAAATGAAACAGAAGTACTGTTGCCTGGCCTGCGAGCAACTCTAGGTATGTCTGGTGACGTAAAATTTGCTGAATTTTCTTCCAATAAACTTAGCATGATGGCTAATAATCCTGATGCTAAAATCAGCTAAGCTCCGTCTCTGGAGGCTCATGTTGCTGGAGCATCTTTCTTCTAGAGTTGCACGGGTCGACCGGCCAGGGGATCGACCAATTTTCTGCGTGCTCAGCCCAGACCGGAGACCGGCTGGTCAAGTCTCACGTATTTTCGATCCCAAACCGGTCCGTTTTACGCATGAACCATGCATCATATGCAAGAACCACACGTCATACGCATGAACCATGCGTTATATGCATAGCGGCGCAGGCAACCGTGTGCACACTTACTACCAAACGCTAAACTGTCATTAGCGTGGAAGTTCTTCACTGTGAGTGAAGACGACACAAAGCTTGCAATCTTTAATACATGTAAAGCCAAAGTAAACTTTGGGGGAACCACCACGAAAACATGGTGAAACATCGGAGGTGAACTTTAAACTGACTATTATACATAGACAAGATCTGGAAAAGGAATAATCATTAACATTGCAAAGCTAGCTAAGGTTTTTTCCTATGACAGTAGCACTCGTAGTTCAGGACACAAGGGAGGACCCCTGCCTGTCCACCAGCCTGCCTGTTTCTGCCGTCTCGTGCTGTCTCAAAATCTGCCTGAGTTTATCTCATGCTAAATTATGTGAACTTCTCCAGCTCTCTGCTGGGCCAGAGGAAAATGGGTTTCCCTCTAAAGTTTGGTTCCTCCCAAGGTTACTTCCTCTCTCTGGGGGAGTCTTTCCATACCACTGTCACCTCAGGCTTAATCTCTGGTGACCTCAAGCACAGGACTCTATAAGGTACCTTGTGACAAAGCCCCTTGTTAAAACCTCTTGTTTAAAGTACTTAAACGGTGGAAGCAAATCACCATAAATAGGCACATAGCTACTGTATAATAGTACATGTTAAAAGTAACTGAATTCCAAGACATAAGCTTAGCTTCTGAGGTTTAGCAGAAGTAAAATACGTGCCGTCGAGCACCATATTAAACCCCTGCAATACTCCACTGATGCACAAATCAGGCCCTGAGCACTTCACTGGAAGCAGAAATTAGTTTCGTGTTGCAGTCCAGAACTTTCCTCACCAACCTCGTAAGGACCGAGTTCTTAAGCCTTTGGCTCTGTATTGAAATTATATTATTATATTCAGTTGGCCCAGACACAGTGAGGAGAGGCCAGTTTCCAGGTAACACTGGAATTTGCGTTGGGTTGGCGAGGGAAGCGATACCAGGCATGTGTTGAGTTGTCTCCCTGGGGTCTCGCCCAGAACCAAGCCTCCACGGAAAGTCCTCACACCGTTAGCAACACAAATCCCACTCCACATGACCTCCATGCCCCTGAGTGTCGACAGAGGTTGATAATCAGCAGAGCAGCTATGTTACTTGTGCTCCTAACTCAGGACCAGCCAACCATCCTGCAGTGGTTTTAGACCAATGGAGTATAAGACAGGCTAGATAAATACAGCTTAACACCTGGGTGAAAAATGATTCTTTAAAAACCCCCCAAATTTAGCCCTGCATTCCAATCTAGGAATAATGACTCTTCACGGGAAATGTATCACAATATCGATGACAGACTAACTTCTTGCCACACAGCAGATCAGTAGATGAAACCATCTGTAAAGTGCCGCAGAAGTTAGACATAGAAGTGATAAATCACTTGTGCCTTCTAAAAAAATTACAACTTACAAGTACTTTTACAGTGTTAAATATTTTAGGTCAGGTCTCAGGAGCCTGGTAGTTCTGAGGAGAATAGCTTGGACTTGAAATGCCTCCTGAAGACACTGGAGTACTGTGTTCCGATTTTCCTCTTTTAAAGACACACCGAAACAAGACATTAATCCTTCTAAAGAGTCAAAATGAAAGAGACTCTGTTTTTTTTCTTCTTTCCTCTGCCCCTGGGCAAAACAATAGGCGGAGCCAAGAGTCGGTCACAACACTAAGCCAACAGGTGTCCGGAAACATCCGGTAACCAAGTCCAGTGTCCATCTGATAGGGAAAGAACACTGTAGGCTTTGGCTCACCTGGGCAGCCGGTCCAGCAGCGTCTTCAGCTCATCGCACACCAAGTGGACCAGGCCTCGCTTGATAGTGGTGAAGGACACGTCGATCATGAAGATGAACGCCGGTGGGCTGGGCGGTTTGTTGTCCTGCCAGGGGGGCCACAGACAGGGGGGCCTCAGCATGATCATGTGACGGAACCGTAACCCGGCAGCAGAAGTAGCGCTCCTTTGAAAGACAGAGGTTCTGAAGTGGTTTAGCCTCAGGATCCACATAACTCTTCGGTCAGTAAGTCACAACCGAAATGTATACAAAAAGCTAGCAGGGGGGGTGGGGGTGGCAACAGTAAAAGTTATATGGGGTGGGTTATGGTGGGGGGGCATTCTTTAAAGCACGGTCCCCGTGACCTACTGAAATTGTTCTCACGACCTCACTAGCTGAGGAACACTGCTGTGAGACCAAGCCTGAATCAAGGCAACACAAACACAAACAAAACTTTCAGCCTCATTCACTGCTCCGGCGTTTGATAAGGAAGCCGATCCAAAAAGATCGTATCATTTCGTATCATTTCATGTGCGGCCGGGAGTAGACTCCTCCGCAGCCCGCGCCAGGATCTGTGCTTGGAAGATGGTATTCTAATGATTTAAAAACAGATGACATTACAGACAAAACAGATGGAAAATCTGAACCCTATAATGCATTTGCTGAGTTTATATGAAGTTTCAGTAGGTCACGGGGACCAGGCTCTGGCAGGGTCTGAAAACCATTTATCATCTTTCTGAGCTAAACCTCTCTCACATTCTCCTTTTTTCATTCTCTCCATTTTTACCCTCCAACTCCCATTTCCTCCATTTATTTTCTAACTGGGTGCCTAGTTCATTGGCAGTCATTACAAAACAAAACACAATGACCTCAATATTATGAAAAAATATTTCGTTCGACCACAACAAATTAACGGTAAAATAACCTGTCACGGAGCAAATGCTGTTTCGTTTCCAGAGCTACAGCACAATGTACAACGAGAAGTCACCTTCCACGCTTTGTTTAAAACGCACTTCAAACATCAGTCTAACCAGAGGAAGGTAGCACTTCTACCGGCTACTCGGTCCTTCTGGCTTAACGTACTGCAATGGCAAAGTCAAAATGCATAAAATAAAACAAAAAACACAAATGTAAAGTGGCTGAGGTATCCTTCACGTGGCCAAAATGAATTTCAACATACTCTAGGTCCTGCAACTTTATCATTCTCAGCAAAAAAAAATGAAAAATGGGGGAAAAAAAAGCAAGCACACGGCCAAAATGCAAAACTCCCACATATGCTTGCTGGGACGTGCAGATCTCCTGAGGCAAGAGCTCCCTCTACAAGGGCCTACAGCTGGCCCTCTCCAGACCGAGAGTAACCGTCTGATCACCCAGTCACGGGATACCACAAATATGTACATTGTGTGTTTCCGTCTGTATGCCTTATGATACACATATGACATTCTCATTGGTTGCAGTGCAACAAGTTAAAAAAAAAGCATAAATTTCAGGACCGTTTAATTAAGAGTATCCTAAAGCCCGATTACATGTCAGACGTGATAAAGTACGTCATCGTGGAACAGAGTTCCGCCATACGTGCCAAGACGTGGTACCTTGCAGTAGTCCAGAGTGGCAATGAACTCGTAGGAGCCCAGCGACAGTTCTGGCCTCTGGTAGACGTCTACCCTCCGGCCCATGTGGTCCAGATGTTGGAAATAGGAAGCTGGCACTGGGAATAAACAGTGTGATTTTATCGACGTGTGGTCATAGAAACATGTGGGAAAACAGTTGCTTCCAATACATCTAAACAACTGATTTATGCTTTAAAGAACGAGCTGTTGGCAAACAGGATGTCTTAGTAAAATAAGAGGTCCACTAATGGTGTCTTCAGAAAAAAGGGCAGTTAAATCCTTTCCCGGGGCAGTGGGCATATAAAGGCTTTGCGGCCTTGATCTGCTCTGTGATCTGACTGTAGCGCTCTTACAGGCTGGACATATATGGTAGTGCTTGTTCAGTAAGACGGCTCCTGGCCGTTGGAAAGTACCCCCAAGCCCCTCCCTGACAGGAGGGGGCGAGGACAGGAGAACTGACCTTCATTAACGCAGCTACAGAAGCCACACTGGTACCGGCGCCCCCCATCGATGAAGTGCATGAAGGGGCACATGTAGGCCTTGCATCGGTTACAGCGGAGTGGGCCAGCCTCGCCGTGGTCTACAACGTACAGGGGAGTCTGCAAGAGTTGGGAGGAGGGGCAGATGGGGGAGGGGGGGGGTGTCATGTGACTTCAACAGCTGCAGGGAAACACCTTGAGAATCACGCCAGTCCAAACATGTGTACTGTACTTGTCCACTTCATCACGGAGTAACAGAACAGCCAGCGGCACTAAAGAAGCACCGTAATGCTTGGTGCCGAGTAGCTGCTCCCAGGACTAAGATGAGCCAAAAATAAAAAGGACGGAAATAAAGAGAAGGGCGCCATTTATAAACATATTAAACTTTTAATAAATCAAAACGTTCAGCAGCTTGGCCACATAGATGATCAAGGGAGAATTCTGTGGAGGGGGGGGGGGGGTCTGGCTCTCTTCAACACCATTGACGGGGGGGGGGGGGGGGGGGGGGCAGGCGTGACAATTAGGGACAGACAAAGGGGAGTCAGGATCATCATCCTACCAGGATGCAGTGCGGTCTTGAAGGACAGCAGCACCGCATTAAAAGAATTCCTTCAGTGAACAGAATGACTTTAATGAGCTAAATGTCCCTTAAGCCCTAAGCTTGTGGACAGCCAAAACATGACTTACGTCAATGTACTTCAGTTAATTTTATGTTCTCTAACTATCCAATTGGGTGAGTAAAATGTATATTGTGTCCAGTGTACAGGTTGCCTTGGATAAAAATACATGACAAGCAATTAAGCAACTACATGGTACTCGCGAATGGAAACTGTTGACTTTAGACTCAGCAAGTCAATAAATTTTTTTAGAAAAGAACACACGCAGAGGTTTAAATGCCAAGGAAATTCCCACCATTTAGCTGGTCTGATAGAGCTTCTTGAAGGTGAAAGGATATGTTTCCAAAATCACAGTCCATTTATTTAGTTTTCATGGGTATTAGATGACTCTTATTAGACTAATAGTAACTACATTATTTGTTCTGTTTGTACAGACCTTATCAACAGTTTTTTTTACAGTTAAATATTTAAAATGGATGAAGGTGGGCTGACTTCCATGTAAACAATGCTGGAAAAGTAACTTTTTATTTTAGAAAATAAAACTACATTAGTGTGTTTTCCCACACAAAACACTCATTCTGGAGGAACCTTCCAGTATTTTTCACTTTGACCTGTCAGAGAACAGGAGGGGGGGTCGGTTACAAACAACAGCCACGATGTCAGTTTCGCTGCACGACACTGAAATCGTCCGTAACTGTGAAGAACCTTTCTGATCTTTGGCAAACGCAGGTTTGTGAGCTTGATTTAAGGTTAAAAATGGGCCGTCGTGTGCCCAGGAACAGAACAGAAATTGTAGATTGTTCTCTCAGAGAATAACAACATGAATTAATATAATTGCAAGCACATTCTTATTTTAGTTTTCCCTTAGAGAAAAGCAGGTCTGTTTGAGTGCACACACACACACACATGCATACACGAGTCACGCATGGAGACACACACACACACGAGTCACGCATGGAGACACACACACACACACACACGCACACACGAGTCACGCATGGAGACACACACACACTGCAACACCTTCAGTCCTTTGTAACGTGACCATGGCTGTTTCAGCCTGTAACACACTGACTTATCCCACACTTAACAGCCCTGTGCTGACTTTTTCCTCAGGACGTTCAGGCCAAAGAGCAGAGCTATGCAGCTTCTATGACCAAGGTTGGATTAATGCATAGAGTATCCTTACCCACAGCCTAGGGCCCCAGCAAAATCAGGGGGCCCACCTTGTTTTGGAAAAAACATAATGTTTAAACTTATTAAATCTGGCCAATTGATCCACCCACCCACCCGGATCAGCAAATTTTACAAACAGTGCCTCTCAATGACATAGTTTACTGCCAGCACAACCCCCCCCAAATTAGTAAGTTTTACCGCTGCCACCCCCTGTGTTGAGTACTGATATTGCATCATTTTTTATTCTAAAAATAATATATATATATATATTTAAAAAAACATAAGGGGATAACTTTTGTAAGACAAGGGCCCCCAGAGAAATCAAGCCCGCCTTCTCCATGACCTCCTGTTCGCTAATCCTGGTTCTGAACACAGACCGAGGCTTGGGGTTGGATCCCTCAAAGAGCGGCCCTCTGAGGACAATACCAGTTCCACCTGGAAGCATGGCTAGCACCTAGCCCCCCGGCAACACCTAACCATCCCCGGCAAGATAAGCATCCAGGACAAACCAAGACAACGGGGCTGCCATTAGCCATTAGCCATCTTCAAGGGGGGAATGGATTTCTGCACGTCCAGTAAATATACAAGAGGAGGAACTTTATGACCATTAAATCCAAACAGGGGCAGACAGAACTATTGCTCTCTCAACTTGTGGTCAGAAACGTCCACCCACTCAAGAGGGTTTGTTATGAGTTTAGTTTACTCAGGCTTGTGGTGCGCTCTGAAAGTCGCAGAGTAAAACTGTTTATTAAACATGTCCTAATACTGCCCTCGGCAACGACTTTATGTGGCAGCGACTTGTGCAGTGGAGTCGCTGACTGCGAGCGCCTCAAACTGTTTATGAACCACAGGGAAAGCCGAGGTCAGCATAAGCCTGCACCCAGGCGCTTGAAGCTGAGCGATATGTCCTTCTGAGGGGTTTGCTCAGCGCATGCTATAGCCATCGGGGGTGCGGCCTGCAGGTGGATTTATGAGATGTTCCAAAGGACCACATTAAGACGTGCACTGGAAAGGTAGGAACATATGTGGAGACAGGGTCGGCCTGCCCTGTAGGCAACATAGGCCATCGACTAGGGCTCCATTTCATTAGGGGGCGCAAAAGAGCGAGTGACAAAAAAAAAATATAAAAAATCAGAAATACAGTGGCACCTCAGAACTTGAACCTAATTTGTTCAGAACTCCGGATTGAATCCTAAAAAGTTCGAGTTCTGATCGAATTTTCCCCATAAGAAATAATGGAAAAGCAATTCATTGGTTACCGGGCACAAAAAAAATACACCAAAATGTTTTTTTTTTAGCATTTAAACACAAAATTAACCAGATAAAACAAGAAGAGCATATACTGTACTAAACACATCTAAGCACATTTATCAAAACAGTAATTTTTAAAGTAAGAAAATAAATGTATCCAAACAATGTGTCCTGCCCCAATCGTCCGCTCCTTCCGTGTGCCACGCCCCCTCGTTAACCTCATGTGGGATCCCCGTGTGATCAGCTGTTTCTGGTTGTTGTCATTAGTCCTCCGTATTTAGTCCGCGTTTCAGTTTGTTTCCCCAGTCCTGTCATTGTATTGTCCGTCTGCGTTTTGCCTGCCTTACCTGTAATTAAACCCCGTATTCCCCGATACCCTGACGTCTGGGCCTTTGTCTCCGTTCCATTCCGTTCATGCTGGGCATTAGAATATTATTATAATTAAATGTATTATTAAAATAATTAATAAGAAATCTTTATTTTTAAATGTATTTTATTATATAGTAATAATTACTGTTACTGTCTATCATTGTCTAAATGTATTTTTACTGTCTAAACATACAGTATGTATTCAGCTAGTGTAAACATGCACGATGCTATCACAGCGAATGCGAGGCTGAGACTGAAGGATTACCCTTTGTTTCCGCTGAGACACGTGCCGCGTGACTCATTTCCCCGCGCGTACATGTTATCTTAGGTCTGCGTTTACGGTTTGACTTCTGAGATTCAGATCGAGTTCTAGGTAATTTATTTTTTTAAACTGGTTGGTTCGACTTTTAAGAAATTCCAGTTATATTGGGTTCAAGAACGGAGGTACCACTGTACATGGCATTACAATTATTTACACTAGTTTTAACATTTCACTACTTTTCTTGTGAAACAGATGCTAGCTAGTTAGCAGTCAGATACTCTGGGCTGCTGAAATGTTACTGATGTAAATAACAATTATATAACAGTTATATGTAAGTGGTCAGTGGTGGCTTAATGGTTAGGGAAGTGCGCTTGTAATTGAAAGATTGCTGGTTCAAATCCCGACCAGCAAGGCACCACTGAGATACCCTGAGCAAGGTACCGCCCCCAAGCACTGCTCCCTGGGCGCTGAATTAGCTGCCCACTGCTATGTCACATATGGGTTAAATGCAGAGAACACATTTTGCTGTGGTGTGTCAACAATGACCACTGATCACCAAATTCTAAAGGCATTTTAAAAATTTGATTTCTGGTGCTCTGGGGCTTGGGGGCTTGGGGGCTTGGGGGCTTGGGGGCCGGGGGGGGCTCAGCAGAATCTTGTTTCGGGCACAAGAACACCATGTGTATCCTTTGTAGGTCCTGCACAGAGCCGTTTGAAAGTCTACATCTTTTCCAGCTGATTCTGTGCGTTTCCTGTTTTGTAATGATTTGAATGTTTTTGTCTTGAAAGATTAACGTCAGTTAAGCAGGTTCAAATCGATAAAAGAATAACACGATGAATCAATTTCGTCATGGCAACCCTGACTGTGCCTGGATTTCCTGAGAGGGACCTATTTTAAGCTCCGCTCTGTCTTAAACCACTTTGTTTAATACTTTAGTCTGGCATGCTCTCCCCCAAACGTGACATTTGCCAATTTGGCGCCTGTTAGTCACCCTAACATTGCCTTAAAAGGCCGGCCGGTGCTGTACACCTTTTCACGGAAAGATCTACGTTACGGGGACCACACTGTCTCTGCAGGACCCACTGCGCTACACGAAGAGGCCCCAATAACACAACAGGCAGCATGGAAACCTCAACACCAGGGAGTTGGGTAATATTCCTAAATCAAAAGAAGCTAATTTAAGGAACGATTACAGTCACTCCAGAAGAGGTAAAACAAACAGAAAATGGGGGTCCTTGTTCATTTCCTGAGCACTTATCCTGGAAGCTATGGGCACATGACAGAGAACAAGACTGGAGAACCCAGAGGAAACCCCAGTATGACACAGGGAGAACATGCAAACTCCACACACATGGAGCCATGGTGGGGACTCGAACCCTGGTCCCAGAGGTGTGAGGCGACAGTGCTGACCACCGTGCCGCCATGCCACAATTAACTTGCTGTGCCAAAGAAAAACTTAAAAGGCCATTAAAAACGAATGACCTACCTCGTTGTCTGGGACAGCGGCAAAGGGCCTGACTACTGCGGCCAGGGGGATGTGACTCTCTTTGGCCATGTCGGCCGTGCAGGGGAAGGAGTAGGCCGTGCAGCGGATGAACCGGGGGCTGGTGTGGCCTGGGGGAGCAGCAGAGCACTGAGCCACCCCACACTTCCACAGACAAAACACAGCTGCCTGCTCTGATTCAACGATACTCAGTTTCTGGGATTTGAACCTGCATCGTTCTGCCCGCCTAAATTCCTGGGTGAGCGAAACAGCTATAGACGGAATACACCAGAGCTCAGCGTCTGGTTTATGTTTAGTGCACTCAGGTGGTTTTATGAAGAGTAAACTGTCAAAATCGCACACCGTGCTGCGTGACACAGCACCACACATGGGAAAGTCCCCTGCACCTCACTGAGGAATTAGCCAGAATCAGAGGGCCGACCGCCCAGGGGGGGGGTGTCGCACTTACCCCGGTCCTGGACCACGAAGTCGGTGGTGACCAAAGGAGGGACCTGGCCTCTGAGGTCGGTACTGTAGAGCTGACCCCCCCGTCTGCTCCGCTCATCCTCCATGACTTGGGTCTCAAATACAAAAGGGGAAATGAACAGCTCACAACACCAGCAAATTTCCCCCCCATTGCTCACGGTTCAGGATGCAGATTCTACGTAAGAACTGAAAATTGGAAAGACTTTCCATCAGTCACTCGCATCTCCGGACTTTGATCTATTTGATAAGCCTACATACTTAACATGCACATTTTTGCTGTTTGGATTTAATGGTCATACTTAACATGCACATTTTAACCCTGACTGTTGAGAGTAAGAAAGTATTTCAGTGATTGTGATATGCAGTATAATTTTTCTGGTGTTCTAGGTGAAGTTACAGATAATCGGGAGCTAGATTAGCTTGCTATCAATTAGGCACATTGGCAATAACTAAAATTACTTCCACCCCCTGGACAGCAAAATCTATCAAGAAGGATCCCCTGGAATCCATGTCTGGCTATTGGCCAGCCAGTATGCGTGTGTGTCGTCTTAAACGACAGCAAGATGAGATATGCATCAGCTAAAACATTCTACTATACCTGTACTCAGACTTGTGCGAACAGCAAATAAAGCGCCATAACGAATAGGGATAAAAACGATGATGCGTCACACATTGTAATAAATAGAATATTTGACCTGGTACTGGAGGAACACTGAACCTCACCAGCATGTGTGTGAAAAAGAACAACACGCAATCCCTGGGACATAAGGTCAGAACACAACAGGAGTGTCACTGAACCACCAAGCCTGTCCTAGTCACACCTCACTGTGTCCGAATTCAGGGCTGCATCCTTCTAAGGCTCCACCGTCCTGCGACAAGGTTCTCCCATTCTGAAGGCTCCATTAAATGCAGCCCAGATATCTGATGTTCTCTGGCAGAGATTACCAAGGTTGATTGCACGAACCTTCGAAGGACGTGGTCTCCAGCAGCTACATGGACCGCACTCTTCAAAGTATGCAGCCCCAAGAATTTGGACACAGCCTGCATCCACTTGAGGTTCCGAGCAGGGTTTTGGTTCTAGACTCACCGGGCTGGGAATGGAGTCTGGGTCAGGCTTCTTCTGAGGGGGTCCGGCCATCTGTGCAGCTCCTCCAGGAAAGGTGCCAGGGAACGGGGGCTGAGCTGCAGATACCTGGCCGCCGTAGGGCCCTGCTGACACAGCGCACGGATCAAACAGAGTCACTCTCACACCTCGCTGCTGGCTAAGGCACAGCCATCTCTATATTATATACCAGCATGCTGAGCGGGCACACACATTTCAGGATCTCTCAAGTCCCCCAGGGGGAGACTTTATGCCACCGTATGCTAGAGAAGGTACTTAACCGGCTGGAATACACAGCTGCAGAAATACCTGACATTTCAGCCGTCATTAAATGGGGTGAAAAGGAATGACACAGCAGACCCTTAACTGCTTGGGATTCTAACAGAAAAGACCCAGAATCTACATAAACGCCGGTCCGCAGCCCACATATTACCTACTGAAATAATCAGAGATTCTGAATTTCAGGACATCTAAAATGCAGGAATGTAGAACCTAAATTGCCATTTGTCCTTATGTAAACTTTAACTCGATTCCTATTACCAAACTGAAAATTTAAGAAAAACTCACTGCAGGGAATTAAAACAAATAACTAATAAATAATAATAATAATAACAATAACATCAATAATAATAATAATACATTATTATTGTTCTAGTTTTTTGTTATTATTGTTGCTGTTATTGTTATTATTGTTGTTATTACTACAGAAGTTGAGTAGGGATTCGATTGTAGATACATTTTAACAAAGGGGAAAAGGGATGAATAATATTTAAGTATATTCAATGATAATTCAACATTAGTAAGTATCCAGGGTCTGGTCAGCACCTTGAGGTGAGAACCCAGGAGTTCCAGGAGGTCCTGCGGGCTGTGCAAATCCACTGCTGCCATGAGGACCAGGCCCAGAGAAAGAGCCAGACATTCTCATATGCTGAGCTGTCGTCATGGCACCCACAGGCTGGGGGGCGGCCAATAGAGACGGGGCTCCGAGAGTAGAGGGTGGGCCTTGGGGCTGAGGTGAAGGCAGGACTTGGTGACCCATGGCGGGTGATGTGGGTGGGTGGAACTGGTGGTCAGTGGTCCCAGTGTGTAACGGAGCACTCTGCATTTGACCATGGCCTTTGACAAGAGGATGAAAGGAGGGAAAGAAAGAGACAGAATGGGGTAGTGAAAGACAGAGAAAGAAAATAAAGGCAAACAACCAGAGGAAGTAGTGTTTGATGGAAGCACTTTCCTTTGTTGTGGTTTCAAATGACCTATAACTAAAACATCACTGCAATCCACAAACCGTCTTTGAAACCCTTCTGAAGAAACATCGTAATCTTTTTGAAGCATGAAAATGGACCCCAATATTTACTTAGATGGGTCTGATCAGAGAGTAAAAGACATCATGTCCATGTCGCCAAAAAAAAAGATTCCCAGATATTTCCGGCAAGCGATTAAAGCCACAGCGATGTTCCCCGGTGTCAGACTGACCCAAGCAGACATCCTCAGACACCATGTAATACACAAATACACAAACAGGAAAAGGCCGGACATCTGACACGGCAGGCATGCTGCACGTGGCAATGGGTCCTCACCGTATCCACCGACGTGCATGGTCTCCACCTGACCAGCAAGCAGCCGAACTGGGGAAGGACACGATGTGACTGCTGGCGGCAGGGCCTGGCTGGGCAGGCTTTGAGGGGCGGGAAATGGAGTCTGGCCATATGGGGAAATGGGGGGGCCGGAGATGGCAGGAGCGGGAAACCTGGGAATTGGGATATAGAGAGTGGAGGATGGGGGGGTGAATGAAGAGCGAGCAAAAGAGATGTAGGAGCTCCACAGAGTTCATGTGTGAAAGGCACTGTGTTTCACAGAGGGCGTGTTGGAGGCCAGCGGACAGAGGTACCTCTGGGACTGCATGCCGCCTGGTGGACCGGCGTGGCTGAACGGGGTGGGGCCTGAATTTGAGGGCCCGCCTGAGACAGAGGGGGACGGGTGCCTGGGAGAGCCTGCAGAAGAGGCATGTGGCCGGAGAGATAAGATCAAACGTGGACAGGGAGGAAGCAGAAACGGAGACAGGCTGCAGGTCGAATCCCAGATGTTTTTGGAACCTCGACAAACACTCAGACTCAGCCGCTTTGGTAAAAATCACCAGCGGTACAAAGAGGTGAAGAATAAGCAGACAGATTTCTTGGATATTGGACAGTCGGCTTAACTGCTACTTCCAGTTCCCTACGTGTGGCACAGTGTCATCATGTAGAAGATACACCCATACCATCAACACCCTTTACATTCCACCCACTGATGCCTCAACACCTCACTAAGCAAAGCGTAGAAAATAAAAGTAAAAAAAAAATAAAACAGTACTTAGTCATACTATTTTTTGGTTGCCTAAGGTAGAGACCCAACAGCAATGCAGAGATGGCCAGATCTGGCATGACACTCACGCTGTCAGACTCTCATGCAAGAAATCTTAAGGCAAACCTATATTAAAAACCTAAAATTAGCCAAACCAAAAGCGCTGAGGTAGTTTACAGACCAATTACAAGGTAATAAATCTGTTGCATACACTACCAGTCAAAAGTTTCTGCACACACTGAGATTTTCTATATTTGCATGTTACTCACTTAACATTTACTAAAAACACACTCAATATTCTTTGCTAACAAATAAATTTACTGTATGTTCATCATTTGAGTACCTTAACATTTACTAAAAACACACTCAATATTCTTTGCTAACAAATAAATTTACTGTATGTTCATCATTTGAGTACCTTAACATTTACTAAAAACACACTCAATATTCTTTGCTAACAAATAAATTTACTGTATGTTCATCATTTGAGCCAGAAAATCTGATATGTTTCATTCATCAAACTAACCTTGTCTGGCAGTGACAACAGAGAAAATTCCAGGCATTCTTTCTACAAGGGATTTTAAATGCGCATTTAAAGTTAAACAACAGCCTAGAATTTGACTATTCCATCACCACACAACCAGTTAATATGATGTCAGACATGCACTGTTACATACTTTTTCCATGTTATCAAGGAAATTTCTTTTGACTTGTATTTTTATTTATAGCTGTTCACTCAACTTTCCAATGTTTAACAAGCATTAAATAGTGGTAAAAACCTGTGCCGTACAAAAACTTTTGACTGGTAGCGTACATGTAAATGCGTGTGCATGTGAATGCGTGTGCATGTAAATGCGTGTGCATGTAAATGCGTGTGCATGTGCAGACTGGTCTCAAACTGAAAATCTCACTCCGGCTAGCTGACCAACGACGGCCACCCTGAGCTGGTGACGGAGGCGCTGTGCGTCTACCTGACGGCCCTGCGGGAAACTGAGGGCTGGTTCCATAGTGCCCATAGAGAGGCTGAGAAGCTGGGGTCCCAAAGCCAGAATGGTACCCCCCCATACCAGGCTGGGCCTGGGAGAGGGGCGGCGAGGCAACGTATCCCTGCTGACTCATTGCTGGTCGTCAGGCTTGTCTCATGCCAAGGGGCAACGTTTCAATCAACCTGCCAAAAAATGCAAAACCCATGAACAGACTCGCAGCACTCGGTCAGCATGGACATTACCATGATCACATGATCACTAAAACAAAATCCAATACTTATAATCAGTGAAGTTTTTTTTTGTTAAAACAATGTTTATATTTGCACGACCTGTTATTGTACAATTCTATTGCAACTGTCACATTACAAATATAATACCTAAAGATCACTTGGGGCCCATATAAAATTTACCTGATAAACACCAAAAAGGTTGTGTACAGCTTGATTAAATATATCAGGCATGAAATTGTACAGTAAAATCCCGTTATAGTGGACTCACATATAACGGAATATCGCTTATATCGGACAAACAATGTGGTCCCCAGGGCCGCTTTTAGCTGTAGTTTTGTTTGGCTATAACGGACATGCAGCTCCGCCTACAAGGCGTGCGGCGTGCTGGTGATATCCAGCGCAAATATGTAATCGGGATTATTAATAGTCACGTATCTAGTCAGGTAAAGTTGGATTACTACATGTACAATATAATAATCTATACCACAAGTGTGTCTGCTGGGGTGTGGCATGAGTAAATGGTGTCCTGTAGTTGTGTTCTGGGCAAACAGCGACTCTGGATATAACGGACTTTGGATATAACGGATTGTTTTGCCAGGTCCCTTTAAGTCCGTTATAACGTAATTTTACTGTAGAAGTACAATAGAACTGGATTTGTGGAGGGCAATCAAAGCTGTCCGTTTACAGGCCCCTGCTCGGTAGAACTGCTATGATTTTAATCTGACTGAAACCCCTCCCTCGCAGGTATTGGGACCGGTTATTGGGAGGGGCTGGATTTGCAGTCTGCGATAGGGGAGCTGAAGTTTCAACAGGTCAAATATTGTGGGGGAAGCAAAGAAATAAGCTCATTTTTAAAAACCGACTTCGATGCTATTTCATCAAGCAGGCTTCCAAGCACAGCGTGAGGGAGAGGAACGAGCAGAAACAATGCATCCTCCTTACAATCCACTCTATCCACTGTATGTGGGTTAGCGTACAGTATAACGTGTCAGTTTGTGATTCACATTAAAACCAGAGGGGACCTATCAGCACAAAGCAAGCGAACCAGAGGGGGTGTGGATTTACAAGGACTTTTTTCTTCTCGTGGACTAAAGAAAATGACAAAAGACGCTCTCAGTAAATCGCTGGGCGCAATTCAGTCAGTTACCACCAACTCTGTGAGAGCATTAGAATTAAAGCGACTCCAAAACAACTTGCAGATTCGACACTGCTGATTCAGTCCCGAAAAAGCATTTTTATATATCCAAATTATTGACTGTATTAATTTACCTCCAAAATAAAACGTATATATATAACCAAATACAACTGATTTAAATTATTCCGTTACACAGTAAAGGATTTAGGAAATATTCTGACATCTGATACACACTTTATCCCAGAGCTATGTTTATATCCACACCGTTTAATTGCTATATATGTTTATCTCTCTTCAGAATACAATTGAGTTAGAGAAGGCCCGAATGCACTGCGCCCATTTCCTTGTGCGTCTTAGCTGCAATCGCACACGTGTTTGCATTGAGTTGATAAACAACGCACAAATGATCTTGGCATCACTTGCAAGGCTTTGATTTCCAGACATACCTGCCGCGTGTACAACCACACCGTTAACCAAGAAATATAATGCAACACCGTAAAGGTGGAATTACATCACTGACGTGGAAACATACAGTTAAGCTTGTTTTAAGTGCAGCAGACGAAAATCGGCGCATCAGGAAATGTGTTTTTTTTTTTTACTGTTCCGCATATACCCGATTTTACACAAAAAATATATATACATATAAAGTTTCACATCAATGCAAGAAATGCCATAATTTAATTTTGCCTTCTGCCACCATTAGCGATAAATACAGCAGATGTGCATGTATTTACCTGAATAACGGGAAGTGCTGCCTGATCGCTTTTCTCTATGAACGCCCGAGTGTGAGCGGAGTGCCACGTCAAACTCAGACAGCGCCGGGTCCTCGCTCACAGCGCTTCTCGCCGCGATCTCTGCGCATGCGCCGTATAGCGGGAATCCTCATACGTCAGCAGTGAGCCGGCAGCATCCAGCGCTGTCACTGAAGGCTGGCGTGGCGCTTCCGCTGCCCTAGTAAACGGTGTGACATTGCGAGTTATCGGCGCATTTCTACGGAACTTATAGGATGATGGCAAATGGCAATGCAAATGCAATTAAATACTAGTAATCTAGTAATGTTATAATGCAAGGGTGCATATTTCGGTATGAACGGTAGGGACATGTCTGTATCAATATTGTGGGGGTACCGTGCGTGTTTAAGGGGTGGGGCTTCGGGGTTGATTTGGTCCCTAACAATGTTGAAACCAAACCTAAGCCCTTGCGGTTCAAATTCCAACACTGGCAGGATCGTGCTACCCTTGGGCCGTTGCTCTTTAACCCCAGTTGCTCCATGAGGGTGCAGGATGCTGGCTAACCTTTTGCAGTGACCCCCAAACCTGCTCTCACCTGTAGCATATATGTGTCTGTGTTCCTCATGGAGAGCAAGATGGGATACGTGAAAAGACAATTTCTCCACGGGGATTAATAAATTAGTCACTACAGTATTCTATAATGCTTCATCATATATGGTCAGACAAGGGCGTAACTTTGGCTGGAACATTGGGGGGGTCGAGGTCTCCACCCATTACGGGGGAAACATGATTATTGGGGGGGGGGGGGTTATATTGGCTGGATCTGATTATTGGGGGAGTCATGATCCCCCTAACCCCCCTGGAAATTACGCCCATGTGGTCAGACGATGCTGACAAAGTTCTTGATAGTGCATTTCCATCGTGAAAATATATTGAAAATATTGAAAGTATAACAATTAGGGGAGCGGCAGTAGTACCCCATATTCTGTAAGGCGCGGGGATCGCTATTTCAGGCACCGCCTTGTGCCCGGTGCTTCCTGAGACAGGATCCAAGCCAAGGATCGTCTACACGTTTGCACACGGACATAGCTTAGGTGTCCGTGGCAACAGTCGTCCGTATCCGTGGCATCTTTCTTTTTTTTTTTAGAATAAAATTTTGTAGGTATGTTTTAAAAATACCATGTGCATGCATGGTAAAAATGCCATTCAGATCAAAATGACCGTCAGAATTCTCCATGGCGTTGACCTCTGCTTCAAACTCACTGGCACAACGTAGAGAATAAGTGGGATGGATGGATAGATGGATGAATAGTCAAAAAGAGACGTATGTATGACATATGTATGACAGGCAATTTATAGGCTAGTTGATTCATAGCTGTTTGTGCAACATTAGAACAAAAACTGGAGGTACAGCTTTTACCATTTACTCTCAAGCATTTCTCGTTCGTTAAATTTAAATGCAAAGTAATAAAATACAAATAAAATCGCTTAGGGCGGGTCTTAGCAAATGACGTGTTGAGGAGGGGTGGCCCGAGTCCTGCAGCCCGCTTCGTGAAAGCCCCCCTCCCACAAATTGGGCTGCGCTCGCACGCGGTACTCCAGAGCGCCGCAGACTCCACTGTAACATCTTGATGGTCGAGTCCTCGGTAGGGGGACGCTGATGAGGTCTGGCAGCATGCGCACTGGGGATTACCTCTGCCTGTCACTAAGCGGGGGGGCGCCCTGGGGTTTCAGCCTGCAGAAAACCGACGGCGAGCACCCCCAGCTTATAAAGGTCACACAGGTAGGATCTAAACTATTGAACAGAACACTACTCTTGATTATTATAACAATAAATAATAAATATTACTATTTTAATAATATTGCCAGCAATAAAATCGTTGTTTTGTGATAGTAATTATAATTTGTCGTCAAACTTGAAAGTATTACAATTGCATTAATAATAGCAACAGTAGAGTTTAGAATTCTTTGAACTTGCTGAACAATTGATATAGCTTTCTGATAGCTAAGAAAAAAAAAAGTTGTAAGTGGAAAAAATATTAATTAAGAGCGTTTAACAATTTGGTGAAGTTTTCATTGTACGCCATGCAATTCAAGCTGTTTATTGTTTTAACTAGTTTTTAACATATAAACAACCTGAGTACCACCGCCCACAAACCCACTCATAAAAAAAACAATACTCAGTCTGGACTATTTTGCGGAGAAACGTGACACCAGTTCTGATGCTGGAATACTTAACAAAACTTGATAATTGTCGCCAGTTGAAGTAACTGTGTCCGGTTTGCATTTCCTGCAAGGTAGGAGAGTCTTCTCGCATTTATGTATATTCCACTTAGGCTGCCAAGTTGTAATTTATAAACCTATAAAGAATTCCTAATGTCTCCTCACTAGCATATAAAAACACCTCCTTCCCACCCAAAAACATAGCTTTACAGTATAATAGAGATGGGTGAATTCTAAATCTCAAGGTATGAAGGCAACTGGAGGGTGTATTTTCGTCTTCCCGATGTCTGGATTTAACTGCGACAGAGAAGAAGAGTTTTTTTGTTGGATAAAAGCTGATAAATGTCAGTCCTTATATGGTAAAGGCACAGTGAGGTCAGCTGCTCGCCTTGGAGCGAATTGTTATCATTTACGCCAATATCAGCAAGACAGACCTAAACACAGTTTGGCTACATGTCAGCGTTAGGGACCGTTATTAACTCAAAAGTGGGCATAGTTTTTGGCCAGGTGCCATGGGGTGCTAGTCTCAAGAAACCTTTTTCTAAGTATGCTTTTAGAAACTAATGACTCAGATACTGAAAAATAGGAGCCGTGGTTTGTAATTTGCCAGAGACATCCCACGAAAGTTAAGAACTCATTAACTTCGTATATTGAGTGTTTCTGCCCCATTTACTTTAATATAACGGTCTGCATACAAAAATAGTAGCCTCAAAACCTGAAGTAGCATCAGACGCCGTTAGGGCACATGTTGTAGGTCAGGCCACTGCATGCAACATCACAGCTTTAATGGGAAATTGAATTCTGGAATGAATTCACAGTTCTATCACGATGTCTGGTCTACATAGGTCTAGTCATCCGTATCCTCAAATTATAACGCTGGACATCTCTGGGATCGTATGGGGGACGCAGACAGCTTGGCTCGGCTCAGCACTTAACTCCAGGGCAATTAGTCAGTACGTCTAGGTCCAGATATTGTTCAGTAAAATTGCAAACAGGTTCCCATTCCTCATACTTGTCTGTGAATGACTATTGAAATGCTTGCCAGCAAAATCTATTACTCAGGTAGAATTTTCTGGATGAACAACAGGTATTTCCTCAGTCCCACAAATCACTGTCCATCGGAATTAAATTCAGTGAAATAATATTATACAGAATTTACTAACATTTATCACATGTAGATGTAAATAATATCATATGTTAGGGGGATTTTCAGGGCCTTTGTCAAAATTGCAGAATATGAGCCAAAGGACTCTTCAAAAAGTGTAAACACAAGATTATGGAATTGGGTGGACCCTGCATGGAAACATTCATTAGTCCCCAGATTTGAGATGTGCTTCCATCCAATGCTTAAGCAGCACATTCGGGCACCAAGGGTAACTAGCGATGCTGATTGGTTTTGGCCCAGAACATGGAACAGTAGCCTTTGCTAACTTGGGACTGAAAGGGATCACTCGGATCAATCCTGACATTCAGCCAGGAATATTCAGTGGTAAAGTATCTATTAGGAGAGCAGATCACTTCAGTTGGTGCGCCAAGTGCAAAGGCAAACGTACTAATACCTGGTAAATGAGAAGCAACTGGCAAACTTGCAGGAATGTAATTCTGAGTCAGGGATTCTCATTCCTGTTATGGAGATTTCAGTCACAGAGGAATACTGTTCTCGGTTAAAGTACTCTTTCCTCTGCCATTTAAGTCTAGTTCAGGGGCAGGCAACCCTGATCCTGGAGTGCCGGGTTTCACCAGGTTTTCCATCCTACAGGATGAGTTACTATCTGCCTGAGATCAGGTGGTATTCATCAGAGACCAGGTAGGATAGAAAACCTGGATACCGGCACTGCAGGATCAGGGTTGCCTGGCCCTTGTTTAGTTGATACACTAGACTAGTCAACATCTAGTGGTCATAATTAAGTTATCATTCTTAATAAGGATTTTTTTCACCTTATTTATTCACCACTCTTATCCAGTCATACAACAGTTATGTATATAAGCCTCAAACATTGCCTGTCTTGTCCCACCACTTGAATGTCTGAGTCCATCTTACATGCTATAAACCAAATTCTGTAGATTTTCTTAGTGCTCTCAATAGCACCATCTGTGTCGGTGGAGGAGAAATTACAACCATCTTCTGTTCCAGCAGATTTTTAATGCTTTAGGTTGTGCATTGGAATAACAGACCAGATTCCTGCACTAATACATTCTAAAACATATATCTCCAGAACTCAATTTTAATCTCAAACAGGTGTGTGGCTAATGTTTTGACCACATGGTATGACAGAGCTCTTTGATAACTAAAGTGGGTCATGTGCTGTTGTGTTTCAGGAAATACTGTCATCGCCTTAGAAACACTGCTTACATATTTCTCTTGCATCAAAGAGATTCCTCAGCCTTGAGATAAGTGATGAGAGCGTCCTTACCATAATCATTATATTCCAGGAAGATGTCAGTGTTAATTCCTGAAATGAGATGCTGAAGCACTGAAAAATATTTATATTTAAGTGTTTCTCTCCTCGGCAATTTAAATCACTTTAAACAATGTCATGAATGTTAAAACTGATTGATAGGTTCCATTCCTTGAAGGCAGCATTTACAAGTATATCTTGCTAAGATCTGGTTGGTTGTCTCTGTGTTGTGTGTTAACTTGCTGGCCCGAGATCATAGACACATTTTTCGTCTCTTTTTGGATAAACCCTCTAACGTTACATGGCTGCTGAAAGTATTACCATCCTGTACGAGATGAAGTTTTTACAGGACAAGTGAGTTCCGGTTGTTTCTGAATAGCTTGTTTGAGAAATCCAGGCTAAGGAGTTGTCTTCTTCCGCTGAATTTTGAAGTGCCTGTTTTTCTGTAAAAATGGAGGTTTTGGATGACCAAATGCACCTAGCAGTGTGCTTAGAATGATTATGCCGCATGATTTTGGAAGAGCAAGACTTCCTGTGAAAACACACGGACACAGTAAGCCAGCAGACGGCTAATTCATAGTTTATGATGTTAATTTAGACAGACTGAACTGAATCTATATCAGATTCGTAGAATAAGTTTTCACTGTTTAGGAGACCGCTGAGAAAAATATCTCTCTATATATAATAAATAAAGTTAAAATGCTGTAAAGTTTCAATACCGGTATAGGTCATGCTTTCTGTACGTACTACTTATCAAAACAACAGTGAAAATAAGGAATCGTTGATGATGTTTTTGCACGTGCGTAACCGACAGCCCAGGGCAAGCTGCGTATAAGGCATAATTTTAACCTGTCTGAGGCAATTTTAAGGAAATAAAGGAGGGTGATCAAGTAACTTTTTTGATCCAAACTCCTAAGGGAACAGCCGCACGCACCTTCCGGAGCATCCTACCGTCCTCTGAGGTTGCAGCTAACCTACTTGTGTGAGCGTTCTCCTTTTCGGGAGAAATGTCCGTTATACAGCTGACAGGAGTTTCTGCTGATGAGAGTCTGTTTCCCTTAAAAGGAGAGTTGTTTTTATTATGACTTTTTGGGAGACCTGGCTGAGGAGCAGAGATTGTGAAGTCATGACTCACTTCAGTTTTAAAGGGTCCGGAGGCGTTTTTCCTGCAAAATGGGTGAATGCGCTACGTGCGTGATGAATGTGGGCTATTATGTGCCTGCGTGTGGTAGAGGACGCTGTATATTTATACGGCATGTAATGCAAGATTTTGTAAGTGTAAGTTCCTGAGTTGTGTAAATTTATGTATACACATTCGATTAACTGCAAGATCTCTCAGATAGGGAAGGGTTGAAATGCTATGACAGATGTGTGGAAAAAATGCACTTTTTACTCAGTGTGTGAAAAATTGCCAAGCTGACTCTGGACATACCTATAAAGCTGAAAGGAAAAAAAAAAAGTTTTATTGCACTTTTTCTCCCCCAGGAGCCTACACAGAGGTACCATTGCTGACAGATTAACACATGCTTTTAATCGCTCGCCGCGACCGACTGCTTGACCTCTGCGTATCCATGCATGTCAATCATCGTGCTGTGGGATTGACGGATACTCCGTTGCTGTTAATCTGACATGGTTCCTTCTGTGGTCCCTGAAGCTCTCTGTACTTCAGCAAACTTCTCATTCATGCACATGTGCGTTTTTGTCGCTTTACCTACATTGTGTTACTTTAAATTCAATTTCCTAGGTTCTTAAACAGGTTCATGCAAATAATAATTGATACTTTAAATTGTTTTTACACCTCCCTCAACTTGCTCTTTGTAGAGTAAGTTGTCTGTGAAGGGCAGCCACCCACGGTAGCACCCAGGGAGCTGGGGGCTAAGGGCCTTGATCAAGGACCTGCAGATGTGCTGAGGCTGGGTTTGAACCAGCAACCTTCTTATTACAGGCACACGCTGCCCCCCCCAAAAAAATGATTACTGTATCTCAGCTGTATATTCATTAACATAATTTATTGGCTCTTTCAACTGTAAGTTTATCAGGCTGTACCTAAATATGGTTGGAGGGACGCTGATGCGAGCCGGGCTCCCTGCAGCAGAGAATTCCCCTTGTGACAGTGTGGTTAAGCCGGGGCCAGATGCCTGATACGCCCACGAAACCGTGC